TAACTGGCCCAGGCTTGAGTGAAATTTTCTTCCCTCTTCTTGAGCCAGTGGCCTGGAGTTTTCCTTTACAAATGTGTATATTAAAGGGGTGGGAAGACTCCAAGGCAGGTAGAGTGATTTCCTGAGAGATGGCCACATCCACGGTTTCTAGAATTGGTATATTTGTGTCCTGGGTGAGCATCTTACAGCTAAAAGATGAATCCTCAATACCAGGCTGATTTCCTGCATCCTCCATAGATTGTACTTCGAGGCCAGATGTTCTGCCATGACTTGGACCCCACGACAGTGACAATGATCCCAAATCTTTAACCTGGTCAGATTCCAGTTTAACAGCTGACTCTAGGTCTAAGTCATCTTCTTCCCGGTTGCCCTTGTGCTGCGGGGACTCTGTCACTGTAGTTCTTCTCTTTTTACAGGGGGACATTTTCAAAATCCCACTTTTGTTCCATCCTGAATGAATAAAAGCAAGTTCTTATCACCTTCATATTAATAAACAGTAATAACATTTGCTCAATTACTTTTTCATTTATTCATGCCCAATCATGAACATAATACTTCACACCAAATGCACAATCTCCTTTTAGGTGGGAAATGAGAGATAGTGGTTAGAATAACTAAGTTCAAATCCCAACTCCACTACCAATTAGTACGTTACCTTGGCCAAGTGACTTAACCTCTCTAAGCTTCAGTTTCCTCAAATGTAAAAAATAATAATTGTTCTTGCCTCACAGAATTATAAGAATTAAATATAAGTGATTAATAAGTGTTAGTTATTATTGTTATTACCATCAGGGAAGTAGAATAACAATGCTGAGAGCAAACTGTGGGGTCAAACTGTCTGGATTTGTTTCTTAAGTCAGCTTCTCTCCAGCTTTGTCACATTGCATAAGTAACTTAAGCTAAATCTCAGTTTCTTCAGCTGTAAAATGAAATAAAAATAGCACTTCCATCATTAGATAGTAAATGATCAACAAATGTTTGCTATGGTTGTTTTCATAAACAAGCATTTCCATTAACAGAAACAATCCAAAAGCAAGGTGTGGTTGTTTTAAAAGGTTAGGCTATATTAACAGAAATTTTGTGTTGAAACAAGGGAGAGGAGATTCCTGCTTTCTCTGTATTATAATAGTTACTTCTGGACTATTGGCTTCAATTCTAGTTATCACATGTTAAGGGCAATACTGACCTAAACTGGAAGGTTTCTGCTTTTATGTTCTTGTAGCACCTGTTTGTAAACCTTTTATAGTACTTGTCTCTTATGTAATTGTATCTACTTGTCTGTATCCTTCCTATTTCCCTCCTCCAAAACTATGAGCTTGTTGAGGAAAAGGGCCCTTTCAACTGGTACCCAGCAGTATCTAAGTATTGTAGACATTCAATATATCACTGAGTATTGATACTGGATGGATAACTGAATATTGTAGATACTCAATGAATGTTCCCTGAATAAATGAATGAACGAATGATAGCTTGAACAACGTATTCTGTGCAGCATTTGGACCAAGCATTAAGCATTATATGGAAACTGCATCCTTCTACCTAGGAAAACTTTACTCTCATAAGTAGGCTCAAGAACAGATCAAGCTGCCTTATGTTACAGTGAATTCTCCATCACTGGCAATGCTGAAGCAAAATCTGAATGCCCAACTATCAGGTTACTCGATAAGAGCTTGGACTAGAGAACTTAAAAATGAAGTTCTTTCTAACTCTAAGAGTCTGATCTATAAGGTTAGTTTAAACGTCCCTAATTCAGTTTCTCCAGGACATTAGGGAAGATTCTCCCCCCAGCCTCCCATCAACCTATGTCTATATCTTGGTGATTAGAGCTCAAAAAACACGTGAAGATTCCGTCGTTCCTGTGAGGGAGGGTGATATGTGGGTAAAGAGTGGAGTGGGAGTAGCCTAGGCTACTCATTTACTACACAGATGAATTACTGAGGTACAGAAAAGAAAGAAAGCAGCTACTATTTATACCAAAGAAAGTCAGTCAGCAGAGTGTAGACTAGCCGATTAGCTCAGTTGGTTAGAGCACAGCCTTGTAACACCAACGTCAAAGGTTCGGATCCCCAGTCCCGCCCCCCCCCAAAAAAGTAGTGCGCCAAGAATGGGTTCTAGGTACCACAAACACAGCAGTAGCTCAACAGTCTGCTGCTTGTCCTTTTTGAGACCGGCCGCACCGCGCTCATCCCTATATAGGATCCGAACCCGCGGCGAGAGCGCTGCTGCGCTCCCAGCGCGGCATTCTCCCGAGTGCGCCACGGGCTCGGCCCATCTGCTGCGTATCCTTAACCCCTCTTTCCTCTCACAAGATACATCAGAATTTGTCAGCTCTGGACTTGAAAATATAACCAGAATCTGCCCAATTCTTCCCCTCTACAGCCCATCCCCTGGTCCTGTCCACGTTCATGTCACAGCAGCCTCCTCACTGTTCCCCTGATCCCACCCTGCCCCCACGGTCTATTCTTCACATGACTGCCAGAGGGATCCTAATAAAACCAGAGTCAGATGACATCCCTCCTCTCTCAAAACCCTCCCATGGCTCCTACATCTTTTGGGTAAAAACCAAAGTAACCTTTAAAACTAAATCATCTGCTGTCACTCCTTACTCATTACCTCTTGGACCCTGTCCTCCACTACTCTTTTTGCTCACTCCACTCCAGCCATGCTAACCTCTTTGTGGTTCTGTGAATGAGCCTGCCACAGGGCTTTGCACTTGATGTTCCCTCTTTCTGGAACTTTCCTTCATGCTTCACCCCTTCCTTCCTTCAGATTTCTGTTCAAATGTCGCCCGATGAAAGAAGCCTTTCCCCATCTAAAATAATTCTGACCCCATCATTCTATACTCTTAGCTTGCCTTATTTTTCTCTATAGCACTTATCACCAAGTTACACTGTATTTCTTTCTTTCCTGTTTCTGTTCCCCACCTAGAAAGTAAGCTTCATGAAGGCAGGGATTTTTGTCTGCCTTGGTCATTGTATTTTCTAGCACCTCCAGCAGAGCCTGGCACCTATTACATACTCAAGCAATATTACTCAAGGAATGAATGCCAATCCAAAGGCAACGCCCGGTGCAGCCCCTTGGGAAAACATTTCAAAAGGACACTAATTGCGCTTTCCACCTCAGGGGCGAGCGATGGCCCAAGTCCCCACTCCCAACTACATACCTTCGCACCCCTATCTTCCGTCACGCACCCAGCGTCCACCCTCACACCCGATTCCCCCATCCTGGAAATTCCTCGCCCTGCTATCCCAGCTCCCACCTGCCTCCTCCCGCCCCACGACACACGACTCAGTACCCTTGCAAGTCGACCCGTATTCCGCGGAAACCGCGCTTCGGCACCACCGGAAATCAGCCAACGACAGCGACTGACGTGCGCGCTCCCGAGTCGCGGTACGCGGCGTCTCAGGGCGTCAGGGAGCATGCGCCAAACACAAGTCGCCATCTTTTCTAGGGCCGAATGAAGCTACAGCGCTAGTACGTCAATTATTGGCAAAATAATTTAAAGGCACTACTTCGCTTTCTCTGACCATGGAGCTCAAAACAAAACAGGCTGATGAGATTCAATTGTTTAGTTTGACAACTAATCTTTCTCGCCGCGAGACACCTGGAACACAGGACCAAGGAAATGGGGAATTCACAAAATTTCAGAAAGTGAAATTTCTAGGTTACAAATAGTGCAGGTTCCTGAATAAAACTAGGGCAATTTTGGACTCAAGCTCAGTAAATTATTCATATAATACTCTGCATTTTACAAAGTGCTCTCACTTACATTATTATCTTAGGTGAATTGGTCTCTACAATAAACCGTGTGTATAATAGATATTATCATATCATCTTACAATTTGCACAGCACAAAGCTCTAGCTCAGCTGGGTAGGTGACTTCACAAAGAGACACAGCTATCAAGGGGAATTAGGGATAAGGCATCGTGACTCTAGCTTCTAATGCATTGACCCAGTGCCCAGGAAGGTGCCTGGGGCATAGTCGATGTTCAATAATTCAATGCATGTTTTTGAATGAATGAATGTCTTCCAGAGCCATGTCCTATCCACTTTTCTAGAAGGGCAGAATGTCAAAGCTGAAAAAATACATTCAACTCCATCATTTTACAGTTGAACTACCAACAAATATTTTATGCATGTGAACTCATCCTGTCTGTAAACAGAATCTGAGAGGATAAAAATATCCTCAGCCAAAATGAAGGGTGAAATTGATGTAATCATGGCTATAATCTCCAGTAGTATGATTCTAAACTGAATCACACCAACTCTCCCAAATACCAAAGAACTCTCCAGAAGCTTGGAGTTTCATTTATGTCCTCTTTTGACCTACAAAATACACAGATCTTTTCGTTTACTCTCTCTCTCTATCTCTATCTCTGTTTCTATCCCCATCTCTCTTTCCTACACAGCCCTAAGCACTCAGACTCATGGAAGAAAAATATTCAACACTGATTAACTTTGGCACCTTTCATTAGTCTTTTTTAAAAAATAGCTTTAACTAACACACGACAAAACCCATCTGTTTTACGTGTACATTTAAATAATGTTTCCTGAATTCTCAGAGTTGTGCAGCCATCCCCAGCTTTTATTCAGAACTTCTTAAGTTTAAGAAAGTTTCCATAATAACCTTTAGCTGTCCCAGAAATGCGTAACAGTAATGGCAGTCGATACTGAAATCCAGACAGTATAGAATTTTGTTTTTCCAAAATCCTGGAACCCAGAACCCAAAACATTCTGCTGCTTTATTAAGCCTAGGGAACTGGAATCACAGTATTTATAGAATCTCAGATGAATGACAATCTTCCCACATCTCTTCCTCGGACCTCGGGACTTCCGCGTTACAGACAATCAGTGGGCGGGGCCCCATTCTGGAGAAAACTAGGCGGTGGGAGGGGTCCCCTCCTGGAGATCTTCCGGAAAGGGGAGGGGCCCGCCTTCCGGAACCTTTCGGACAGAGGCGGAGTCTTCTGCCGAGGGCCATTCGGAAGAAGGCGGAGCCTACCTCGCATCAGGACCAGTCTGACTGCACCTGCATCCTTAGCTCAGAGCATCCCTGGAGCATCTTAAGAGGCGAGTGCAGCTAGCAACCAAGGGACTGGACCGTCGCGTCTGCCAGATACCTTCCCCCTCCCCTGACCCAGAGCTCTACAGCAGCGCCCTCGGTACTGACCGGGAGTTCCCAGAGTTGTCTGACCATTGCAAAAGCATTCATAGCAACAGCCTCTGATTACGACATGGCCGAGATCACCAATATCCGACCTAGCTTTGGTAAGTAGAGTCGGGCAAACTAAGCTTGAGGTGGTCAGAACGGTTGCAAAGCCAAGGGGGTCCGACGGCTGGGCGGGGAATGAAGCTCAGACCAGAGCCTTCAAAGTGTCAGCCCGCTAGAATTGGGCCTGTGGTGGTGGGTAGCGGGCAGTGGGCAGCGTCTGAACTTAAGCTATGGGCTGCAGGGAATGGCAAGGCCAGAGCCACACGGAGGGTGGGGAAGTCCAGGATGCTAAAACCTTGTATGATGCACTGTCAGCACTGCTGGAGGTGAGAAACAGCGAGCGTGCCGAGGACGCGAACCCCTCCTTCTGGAGGAGGAGAGGTAGGGTAGGCCGAGTCCTGCCCCTTGGGGCACGCAGGGCGGTGCCCCTTCCTCCCCCTTCCACTCCTAAGGGTTGCGGGGGAGGGAGGTGACAAGGGGGTTGGCGAATCAAGATGGCAGCTTGGAGACTGTGGGCTCTGTGGCTGGCAGCCAGGGGAGGCGGTGGCCTCTGGGGAAAGAGGTGTGCGGGGGTGGGGAGCAAAAAGGAAGCCACTCCTTAAGCCGATCAGCTGGATGCTGGAGCTGGGACGAAACGTGAGCCCTGCAAGCTCCATTCTGCATCGTAATGGTGGGGTCCATTTGATGCTACCAAATGGCGCTTGGCGCTGCTGGGCTGGGGGATGACGTGATGTCTATTTCTGGGCCTCCAGACAGCGCCTAGTCTCTCTTTCCGGGGCCTTTGTTCCCTGTTTCTCCTGGCTGGCTTTTCAAAAAGGGGGACTCACCCGCGCTGGTGCCGGCGGGGGCGCGAATCAGGCCGGAGGGGGAGGGGCGAGAGAGGCCCAGCCCGGGGGAGGCTGCTTTGTGTACTAGAGAAAGCATTACGTCATCTAGGAGCCGCTGGTCCCTGACCCAGCCCTATGGGCTCCAAGATCAGTTTTACACTCCCTAGATCAGAAAGTGGAGTTGAAAACAGGGAAGAAGATGGGAAAGACAAGCTTGGAGAGCAAGTTTTTTCCTCTTTGGGGGTTTCTCCAAAATGTGCTAAGGGAGTAAAGTTCCTGTGCTATGCTTTCCTAGTCAAATAAATAAATAAAATATAATTGCCCTTCTTCTCCCTCAATTCTACTACAGTTTAGATGGGGGAAGCCAGTGAAAGTTGCTGCCAGCCTAAGAACCTTCCCCTTAAGGGATTCTATTTCTCAGACAATCCAGAAGGTTTGAGCATCTGGACTCCAGCATTTAGGGTGGGGACACAATCCAGCTAGGAAACGGCTTTTCTCACTCCCAAGTAAGAGGTATATGGAAATAAGCAGAACCCAATGTGCTCTATCCCCTAATATAAGGAAGAGGACATCAGATCAGGGAAAGTATCCAGACAACAGAACTTCACACCCGTTAATGACTTGTTCCCACTTATTCCTCAAGACTAAATCTTGATTGTATTTCTTTCTTCTATTTCTCCTTCTGATTCTTTATCCTTAGAGTCCTAAGTTTCCAAAACAGAAATCCCTTTTGTAATTGCATGAGCAACTCATTTTCTTCCTGCTTTTTCTTTTTCTTCTTATACCTTTCCAACAGATTCCTTTCTCTAAATGCAGTTCCAGAGTCCTTGGGAAAGTACATGGTGCAGAACACACTATAGTGATTTCCTTTAGAGGGAATATTAGTGGAAAAGGGGAAATAAATTATGTATGCCTTTTATATGCTGCATATTATTTAATCCTAACAAATACCCTCCAGTGTAGTTGTTAGATATATTTGCCAGATAAGGAAACTGAGGCTCAGAGGGATTAAAAACAACAACAAAAAACTTGGTTAAAGTCAAACAAGCTATTGAGTGTAGTGCTAGGATTTGAACTGATGTCTGGCTCATTTCACTGTATTACCCTGGCCTACTTGTCAGCCAAAGGCTATGTTTAGAAAAGGAAGTGTCAATAAGCAGGTCTGGTCCAAGGCTGAAAGAGTTGGGCATAGCCCAGATGTGTCTTGCAGGTCTCTAGACCCTTACAGAGAGAGTCTCCTAAATACAGAATTGCTGCATCTGACTTTTTCACATTTCACAGAGTACTTCATTTCAAGCACTATAGTACTTGGGAGGTATAAAAAGCGAACACTCAATTACCCGTGACGATGGAGGACAAAAGGAGCAAGCAGCACAGGTCACCCCAATTTACAGCTTTTTTTTTTTTAACAGCTTCTTTAAAACACTCACTTCAGCCATTTGTTCCAACTTCATTTTCCCACAAGCTTGTGGCTAAAGCGAGCCACAGGGCTCTGAGTTTCAACATCTCTGATTTTTCTAGTTTACTAACATGGGTGTTGGGAAGAGGGACAGGAGTTAACAAATAGTGAAATGAAGATAGAAGGGCAAAAGTGGGAAACAAGGTGGGGGAGAGCACCTAGATAATCCACAGATGGGTTCATCTGTTTCTCTCTTTTTTTTTTTTCTTTATCCTTCTAAAGATGTGAATCCTTTATCTTCTCTTTTCTACCTTACCTCCGTTTTCTAACAATAAAAGTTGACTCGTAAGCAGCAACAGGTTCCCTCAAGATCACAGAGTAAATTAGTTGTAGGGCCAAATAGACCTAGATGTCTCCCAGTCTGGGCCTTTAGATCTCCCTTTCAAATCATTCTCAAAAATATACCTGACTTGGTAGTCCTCTGATTTTCTTTTCTCTTAGAGAAAATCAATGTTCAGTTTTACTAATCAGTAGCAAGCAATTTGCAGGAAAGCCCCTGCATGGTGAATGGAGAGCCGCTTCTTCAGACTGTGCCCATTCTGACTGACAATTAAGTCTAGCCAGCTGTTCAAACAAATATTTACTGAGCTCCTATTAAATGCAAGAGACTCTGAGGGATTCAGAGACAAACAGGATGTTGTTTCTCCCTGCCCTCAAGGAGCTAACCACCAAGACTACCTCTCCCTTGAAGCTCTTTTTTCATTTAAAGCTTTGAGACTTGGTGCTGCTAACACTAAGATATAGGTTTTGATCCCTGTACCAGCCAGCTGCAAATAAATAATAAAGCTTTGAAACCAAACACCATTATTATTCAGTATGTCTATGGCCACCTTGATTTATTTTGTTCAGAATTATTTTACTCTTTTTTTTTTTTGGTGGCTGACCAGTATGGGGATCCAGACCCTTGACCTTGATGTTATAATGATTTTACTCCTTATCTACATTATTTTAGAATGTGACCCCTTCTTTTCTTATCTAGTTCCACCTTTCATACAACCAAGGAATGTTGAGGTAGAAAGAATTTCAGAGACATCTAGTCCATCCCCACTGAAGAAATCCCTTTTAGAATATGCCCGACCCAGGGCTGGTAACCCAAGGCTGGCCAGTTAGCTCAGTCTGTTAGAGCTCAGTCAAGGGTTCGGATCCACTTACCAGCCAGCTGCCAAAAAATAAAAAAATAAATAGAATATGCTCTACCAATGGCGATTGTATTACTCTGTTTCTGTTGTTTATAACAGAATACTTGAAACTGGGTAATTTATAAATAAATGAAATTTATTTCACACACTTTTGCAGGCTGGGAAGTCCACAGTCCAGGGACCACATCTGGTGAGGGCCTTCTTCTGGGTGGGAACTCTCTGCAGGGTCCCATGGCGATGCAGGGTATCACATGGTGAAAGAATCTCAAGAGCTCTCTCATGTGTTCCTTATAAAGCCATCAGTCCACGCCTATGTAACTAATTACTCCATGAATGGATTAATCCAATCACAAGAGCACAGTATTCACAATCCAATCACCTCTCAAAGGCCCCACCTTTCAAATACTGTAATTGGATTTCCCACCCTCTTAATACTGTTACAGTGGGGATCAAGTTTCCAACACATGAACTTTTGGGGTACATATTTGACCTATAGCAGCGATCCAACCTCTGAAATTTTTCAATTGGAGAATTACTGCCTCATGAAGCAATATGGGCCATTGTGAGGCAGTTGTGTTTTTTTGTTGTTTGTTTTGTTTTGTTTTTTAGGTCAGCTGACCAGTACAGGGATTGAACCCTGAATCTTGGTGTTAGCAGCACCATGCTCTAAACAACTGAGCTAACCAGCTGGCCCCTGTGAGGCAGTTGTCATAATAGTTTGACTCTTTTCATTGAGTCAAAATCCATGTTTCTGTAACCTATACACAATGGTGCTGGTCCTGTGATCCAAAGTAAAATCAAATCAGACCTTTTTCAATCAAAATGCCTAAAATAGGGCCAGCCCGTGGCTCACTCAGTAGAGTGCGGTGCTGATAACACCAAGGCCCCGGGTTCAGATCCCATATAGGGATGGCCGGTTCGCTCACTGGCTGAGCGTGGTGCTGACAACACCAAGTCAAGGGTTAAGATCCCCTTACCAGTCATCTTTTAAAAAAAAAAATGCCTAAAATAATTATAACTGAAACCCTGTACTGGCCAGCCACCAAAAAAAAAAATTATAATTGAAGATGGTTATTATTCCGAAATACCACTTCAGCTCTAGTTCCTTCAATTCTTCCTCCTTTGATATAGTTTCCAGATCTTTTACTATCCTAAGTATCCACAATATAGAGTATGGACTCTAGTGTCAAGCAGACCAGAGTTTAAATTCCATGCCATTTGCTAGTATTTAGGCTTGGGAAGATTTCTGAGGTCCCAAGTTCCTCAATGTAAAGTGGGGATATTAATGGTACTTATTCAATAAGTTCTTTGATTCAGAGAGAGAAAGCTCTAGCACAATGCCTGGCAGGATCATAAGTGCACACCAAAAATAACAGTTATTGTTATTGTCAGTGTTACACAGAATACTTCTGATGTGTTATGGCCAGTGCAGATAAAATTATACCTACCCCTTGTGTGATCTGGACATCATGCTCATGGTATAAGTTGGCATTAACCTAATTATAGTCCAGGCTTATGGTCACTTACACTACTAAGTCATTTTTGCCCAAACTTGCCAAGTGAGGTTATTGCCTAAAGATGGGTTTTTAAGTCCAAATAGAAATTCACATTTATCCAGTATATGTAATCATATTGACCTCATCCTTTTTTTTCTAATCTGTAGAGACTGTTTTGAATTCACTAACTCATTTGTTCACTGAGTACTTCTTACGTGCTATATGGTTCTAGGACCTAGGGATATAGTGGTGAACAAAACAGACAAAATCACTGTTCATATTAAGCTTATCTGATGCAGGAAGACAGACAAATAAATATATTACAGGGTAATAAGTGCTATGAAGAAAAATAAAGAACAGTAATGGGGATATTATCTCACTTGGGGCAGAAAGGAAATGCTTCTCTGATAAGATGAGGTATGAGCAGAGGCCTGTAGTATGTGAGGCAGTGAGCTATGCAGATGGCTGATGGAAGGGTGTTCCAGAAGGATCTGGAACATGCTGGGATCACGTTTATTTCCTTCATTGTCCCTGTCTTCCAAGTCTTCCCCTAAAAAGTAAGGTAGAAAACTGCAGGCCTTATCTAGACCTTTAAGGCCTAAACCCAATTTGGCTTCAGTAAACTTGAGAAGGGAAAGAAGCCGAAACCTAATTATTCAAGGCAGGGGGCCAACTTTTGTGGGAAAAAACAAGACTAGGAGAAGGGAAGAGAAAAAAAAACTATTTCTTTGTATATTTATTCACCCAACAAATATTTATTTTTTATTTATTTATTTATTTTATTTAAAAAGATGACCGGTAAGGGGATCTTAACCCTTGACTTGGTGTTGTCAGCACCACGCTCAGCCAGTGAGCGAACCGGCCATCCCTATGTGGGATCCGAACCCAGGGCCTTGGTGCTACCAGCACCGCACTCTCCCGAGTGAGCCACGGGCCGGCCCCCAACAAATATTTATTAAGTGCCTGCTAGGGCCAGCCCGAGGCTCACTTGGGAGAGTGCAGTGCTGATAACACCAATGCCACGGGTTTGGATCCCATATAGGGATAGCCGATTCGCTCACTGGCTGAGCGTGGTGCTGACAACACCAGGTCAAGGTTAAGATCCCCTTACCGGTCATCTTTAAAAAAAAAAAAAAGTGCCTGCTATTTGTTTAAGTGCTGGGGATATAACAGTGACAAAACAGGCAAAAATCCCTATCTTCATGAGGCTTACATTGTAGGGAAGATAAACAATAAATAGTAAAATTATTTGAGGTGTTCATGTATATATTTATTCTTATATATGTGTATGTATTTTATTTTATTTTATTTTATTTTTATTTGTTTATTTTTGTGGCTGGCCAGTACAGGGAACTGAACCCATATGTATTTTATATATAGGAGGGTACTTCAAAAAGTTCATAGGAAAAATTTTTTTTTAAAAAGTTCATGGAAAGATTCATATTATCTTTTTTTTTTTTTTTAATGGAATGCTTCACGAATTTGCATGTCATCCTTGCACAGGGGCCTTGCTAATCTCTATATTGTTCCAATTTTAGAGTATGTGCTGCTGAAGCAAGCACCATATTATCTTTCAATTCTATTTTTCCATGAACTTTTTGAAGTACCATCGTATATTATTTTCTTATATGTGTGTGCATGCACGTGTGTGTGTGCGTGTGTGTGTGAGAGAGAGAGAGAGATAATGACAAGGCATGAAAAAAATTAGGCAGGGCTAGGAAGAGTGGGTGTCAAGGGTGGAAAAGGTTGCATTTTTAAATAGGATAGTCAGGGAAGACCTTGCTAAGAAGGTGACATTTGAACAAAGATCTGACATTTTCTGCAGTCCCTATTTCTTCCAATTTAAAGTTTTATATTTTAAATACCTGGCAGCTGAAATTTTGGAACATATTTAAAAAGTATGTAGATGCAGAGTTTTTCTTTTTACCACCCATCCACTTTTAGCACCCTTGTGCACCCTACCAAGACCTTCTAAACTCAACTCCACATCTTTCCACCCCACCCTGACAATCAGCCAGTCAGTCAACATAGGCCCACTGTTTGCAAACCCATACTGGATGCTGTGGAATATCCTCCAAAAACCAAAGACACAGCTCATGCCCTTGCATAACAGTTGAAGCGAATGGGTTCCCACATAAAAATGTGACCTTAGAACACTTACAGAGCAGCTCTATGTAAAGCACAAATCAATACAAGCAAACCAAGTCTGTAAGTGCTGAGAGAAGGTCAAGAAAAGAACAGGGAGTCAGGTGGGGCACTTCAGAGAAACCTATCTGGAGGAGATAATCCAGGTTTGGCGGGAAGGAGGAGCCATGAATTGGTCGGAAAGTGTGGGTGAGATCGGCTCCAGGAGAAGGGAGAAGTTCTAAAGCCCAGATGAGCACGTTTTGCTTTGGAGGCTAGATTGCAGATTTGCTTGGCTCCAGCAGAGGCACTGAGCAGGGGACCTCTGGACAGGGGTTGAAGTCCATCTGCCTTAATGCATCTCTGGTCTCCTCCTTCAGATGTGTCACCAGTGGTGGCTGGCCTCATTGGGGCCTCTGTGCTGGTGGTGTGTGTCTCGGTGACCGTCTTTGTCTGGACATGCTGCCACCAACAGGCAGAAAAGAAGCACAAGAACCCACCATACAAGTTTATTCACATGCTTAAAGGCATCAGCATATACCCAGAGACCCTCAGCAACAAGAAGAAAATCATCAAAGTACGGAGAGACAAAGACGGCCCTGGGAGGGAAAGTGGACGTGGGAACCTGTTGGTGGACGCAGCAGAGGCTGGCTTGCTGAGCCGAGACAAGAGTCCCAGGGGGCCTAGCTCTGGATCTTGTGTAGATCAATTACCTATCAAAATGGACTATGGGGAAGAACTGAGGAGCCCCGTTATGAGCCTGACCCCCGGGGAGAGCAAAACCACCTCCCCGTCATCTCCAGAGGAGGATGTCATGCTAGGATCCCTCACCTTCTCAGTGGACTATAACTTCCCAAAAAAAGCCCTGGTGGTGACAATCCAGGAGGCCCATGGGCTGCCAGTGATGGATGACCAGACCCAGGGCTCTGACCCTTACATAAAAATGACTATCCTTCCTGACAAGCGGCATCGGGTGAAGACCAGAGTGCTGCGGAAGACCCTGGACCCTGTGTTTGATGAGACCTTCACCTTCTATGGCATCCCCTACAGCCAGCTGCAGGACCTGGTGCTGCACTTCCTTGTCCTCAGCTTTGACCGTTTCTCCCGAGATGATGTCATTGGGGAGGTCATGGTGCCACTGGCTGGGGTGGACCCCAGCACAGGCAAGGTACAACTGACCAGGGACATCATCAAGAGGAACATTCAGGTGAGGAGGAAGAGTGTGTTGGGGAGGGATGGTAGGTTGGGGCAGACAATATCTCAGGAGAAATGGAAGGGGAAAGAGGTACGATGAGGGACAAAGAGGAGCTGTAGAAATGAAGCTTTTGGCTATCAAAGAAAAGCAGTCAAAGTAGGACAGGGTCTGGCAGATTAGGTGTCTTCCAAGAGGCAACTTCATGAGAGAAGTTCAGATAGCTTCTAAAATTTCACTTAGTGATTGGCATCCTGATGCTGCATCCAGCTTACTTGGAACAGGCTGTCCCACCAGTCCTAAATCCTCCATCATGTAGGGGATATGGGGGCTAATTTCTTTTCCAAAGTGATGTGTGATTTTCCTCCAGTGAAATTATTTCTCACAGCTGAGACACTATGACAATAGCTCAGTAATTTTTCCCTGAGTTTCCCTTTCCCAACCCAAACCTAGGGGTATGAATAGTATCATGTATGTATTAGTCCATCTCAATTGCTTATAAAAAAATAACTAGAACTCGGTAATTTGTAAAGAAAACAAAATTTATTGCTTATGGTTTCCAAGGCTGGGAACACATCTGGTGAAGGCCTTATTGGTGGTGACAGTTATGCAGGGGTCTCACATGGCAGATGGTGGAGCAGAGAGTGAGCTAACTCTTCACTCCTCCTTTTAAAGTCCTCAGAACCATGCCCATGACCACCATTAAGCCATCAATGGATTAATCCATTCACTAGGGCAAGGTTCTCACAACCTAATCACCTCTTCAAGGCCCCACTTTTCAGTTATCATAATAGGATTTGCCACCCTCTTAACACTGTCACAGTGGGGACCAAGAAGCCTCCAACACATTAAACTTTAGGGGGATACAATTCAATCCATAATAATGTACATGTCTTCTTATAACCATTTTATATATGAAATGTAATGAATTGTTTCACCCTTCCAGGCCCAAACCTTTGTCACAGATACTTCTCTCTCCATTCCTCCTCTCCTCCCTTTTTGCATTCGAATGGGGATGAGAGCCCTCCATCCTGCCTTTTCTCCCTCTCTCCACACTAGTCAACATTGGCTCTTGAGATGTAATTTCAGGGGTACAAGAAGTATACCCTCACCCCACCCCACTAGTTCATTTCTTCCACACTTGGGGAGGTGGTGTAGTGCGGCAGTTAAGCACTTGGGCTCTGGAATTGGACAGCCTGACTACATTTTTTGTCTCACCACTTTCTAGCTGCACAACATGAGTGAGTTACGTAACCCTTCTAAGCCTCTATTTTCTCATTTGTAAAATGGAGCTGATAATATTGCCTTTCATACAAGGTGATGAGGTTCAAATGAGATAATATACCTGACATACCCTTGAGGAGTTTTCACTTTACTGGGAGATAAAGATAAACATTTTTGGCAAATACCATATAGTGAGTATGCTGGTGTTATTTAAGAAGTTTTTTTTTTTTTTTTTAAAGATGACCAGTAAGGGGATCTTAACCCTTGACTTGGTGTTGTCAGCACCATGCTCACCCAGTGAGCAAACCGGCCATCCCTATATGGGATCCGAACCTGTGGCCTTGGTGTTATCAGCCCCGCCCTCTCCCAAGTGAGCCACAGGCCGGCCCAAGTTTTTTTTTTTTTTTTTTAAAGATGACCAGTAAGGGGATCTTAACCCTTGACTTGGTGTTGTCAGCACCATGCTCACCCAGTGAGCAAACCGGCCATCCCTATATGGGATCCGAACCTGTGGCCTTGGTGTTATCAGCCCCGCCCTCTCCCAAGTGAGCCACAGGCCGGCCCAAGTTTTTTTTTTTTTTTTTTAAAGATGACCAGTAAGGGGATCTTAACCCTTGACTTGGTGTTGTCAGCACCATGCTCACCCAGTGAGCAAACCGGCCATCCCATATATGGGATCCGAACCCGTGGCCTTGGTGTTATCAACACCGCACTCTACCGAGTGAGGCACAGGCCGGCCCCGGCCCAAGTTTTTGAAATTTTAAACGTAGAGTTTTATTCCTTTTTCAAGGTATAACATATGTGGTTGATAGCAAGTATTTGGAAGTTAAACTTGAATTTAAATCCAAATTCCATCAGCTAAATGACCTTGGGCAAGCTGCTTAACTTCTCTAAGTCTCAGTTTCTTATAGGAATAAAGTAAGATGATGAATTTACATAGTCCCTAACATATAGTAAGCCTTCGATAAAATGTGACCATTATTATTATTATTATTTTTTTTTATAAATAAAGTTTGATATCTGGGAGATATATGTGGCTAGCAGATATTTATACTATGTTTTGACAAAGTGAAGGAAGACAAGGAAGCCTGAATCAGTGGAGAAGGAGGCTGAAGTTTCAGCATAGCAGAGCCACTAAAAACAACTGCAAATCTCCCAGAAAGATCCCTTCCAATAGGTGGTGTTCTTCTCTCTTGATGGCTTTTCTACCTGCAAGCCCACACTGGACACAGTGGGGAGACAGGAGGCTCAGGATTGGACAGAAGAGGCCTCCAGGCCAGCAGGGTCAGAGTGTGCAGTGAATACCCAGGAACACACTTTTTTTTTTTTTTTCTTTTTATCTTTTTTACTGACCCGCAACGGGATTGTAGCCCTCGGTGTTGCGCCCGCCCCGCACTCAGCCAGTGAGTGGGAACCGGTCTCCACATGGGATCCAAACCCTCGGCGGGAGTGCCACCGCGCTCCCAAGCAGCGCACTGTAGCAGTGTGCCACCGGGCCGGCCCCCCAGGAACATACTTTGCCCACTGAAGAAGGATACTGCACCAGGTCTGCAGGGCGGGGCAGCAGGGAGCACACCCTCTGGGTGTGTGTTCTCGCCTTCTCTGCTGTATAGTATGCACCCACTTGAGCCAGCCCAGTCATGCTGTTGTCCAAGGGAACTGCTGCTGCCACTGGGCACACTCAGATCCACCTGACAGGGGCCAGGGAAGTCCAAGAATTGTGAAAAGTATTAGAAGTATTTGATCTGAGCATAACCAAGGCACCGGTTCAATGCCGAGATACAGTGAGACATCCTAGAGTCCCACACTGCAGGGCTTCTTGCATCTTCTGAGGTTAGAGTTAGAAGGCCTGGACAGAAACTGAAGCAGTGATCTATTTTATCCCCTTCTCTCCCTTCTCCTCTTCTCCATCTCTTTTCCTCTGGGCTCTGCCAACCCTCTTCCCTTTACAGTGTCTCCAGCACTCCACTCCCTGCTTTCATCTACCTCTCCTCACAGGAGGATCCTCTCCAACACACCCCTCCCTATAGCCCCAACTTTGGTGAAGCCACCAACCAGCTGGACTTCTCCAGACAGCTCATGCACTTGCAGCCCAAGGCTGGGGGTGGAGGATTGCTCTGTGCCAAGTTGCAGCTGGGAAGAGACAGGCAAGGAAAGGGACCAATTTGGGCTGGGAACCTAACAGCCTCAAATCCAGAGTACTGGTCAGAGAGCACAGACAATAGCATTTGCTAAACTGCCAGGGCTCTTGGCAACAGCCAAGTTTCTTTCCACTTTATTAACTTCCTTCAGGGGGATAAGCCAGGGAAAGGATCCTGAGCAACATATCCCTTGAGAGAGGTCTCAGACAGGACACCCAGAGAGCCTGTGCAGCCCCACACCAGAGCCTTTCAGCCTCCCAGGCTTCCTGAACCCATTTCCCCAACCAGCACCTGTGGGAGGGACTGTGTTCCATCTGAGCCATAGCTGTCATCTCCCTAGTCACTCATTCCTGTGATTCCCTAGCAGTGCAGCGTCCAAATGTCTACCCCAGTTCCTCCCTACTGTAGCAGAGTCTGCCCTTTCTGGATCTCCCCTTGGCAAACAGCAGCGAGAGTTGCTCTGGAGTATTCCACACTGTCTGTAAGGAGCTTTTTTCCTGGTCCGTGTAAGACATCCCCTTATAGTATGGGACCAAATTATCTTCCTCCAATGATTCCTGGGTGGAGACTGGTAAGAACTGCATTTCTATGGACAACCCCAGCCCTAACTGCATTTCCTGGCCTTTAGCAGAAAATTCATCTCTTATCCTTCCCATTATTACAGTGTGGTCCAGTTGAAGAAGCCGAGGACTAGTCATCATTTTGACTCTGTCCATTTCACTGCCTGACTCTGGGCAAGCAGTTATCCTCTCTGGGCCTTAGTCTCCCTCTAGGCTGGATCATGAAGGCTAATGGGGTCACTTTGGGAGCACACTCTCAGCTCTTATGAATATACGAAGAGATATAAGAAGCATTAAAAATTAATCCTTGATTATTAGTAAGAGGAAGTCACAGTATAAACTATGATGCCCAAAATCTCTGAGTTGAACTTTTTAATATATGTATTATATACTTAAAATTTTAATATATATATTATACATAAATATACATATGTATATTTTAATTTGAATTGAACTTTAGAACTAATTTTTTTTTTTTTGGCAGCTGGCCAGTTCAGTGATCTGAACCCTTGAAAGAACTAATTTCTTTTTTTTTTTTTTAGTGGCAGCTTTGTTTTCTAATATTTTACTCATTTGATAATTAAAGTGATTTACATTCCCATAATAAATCCCCCACAAGGAGAACAGAGGTGGTGCAGAAAGGGCTGGAGGACAAAGAGGACACAATGGGAAAGCAAAGATTGACAAAGTGGATAATAGAGAGTTGTTAGACCCCTCCTAATTTCTTTAGGTCATGGTGATGACCTGGAACAATGGTCATGGGAATGAGAGGATTCTTAAAATCTCAGGTTTACAAAGGACCTTAGAGGTCGTCATCCAATGTAGCCATCAGCACTGAAAAGAGAAAGAAAAAGGAATGTCAATTTTCTAGGAACAATAAAGAAATTTGTTACGTATGTGCATTGAGGGGAGGAAATAGGAATGTGATTTAACGTTAAGGTTTTGTTCTTTTGTCTTCCCATGGTTGTGATTTAAGGTAGAGGGAGCCCTCAGGACTTCTGGCCCCAAGAAAGGTTAATTGATGGTACCATGGTCCACTTAGTGCAAAGACTCTGGCTAGAAAATCATTCTGAAAGCTCTGCTAATTATAGGGAAATAGAATTATCCCTTGCCTAAGTATTTCATCTGAATGTATTCTTCAGAACCACTGCTCCTGTTCTTCTGTTCCTCTGAAGGAGAAAGGGGCCTGCTCTCTGAGAGCAAAGCCCCCAGCTCTGTCAGGCATGGATAAAACCCTTTCTCTCCCTTGTGCTTCTGCTTGCCTGCCCCCCAACAGGGTATTTGCCTCACTAGGCTCCCAGCCCTCAATGGCTCTTTTCAGAAGAAAGAGCCATTGACAGTGCTACTTGGAATGGGAATTGGGTGCAAAGAGAAAGGGTGGGCGGGGTGAAGGAATGACATGAAACTCTGTCCTTCAATGCAGAATGGAATGGCATTCAGGTGGTGATGTGGCTGCAGGCTTGGGCATCACATAGGGGCAGCTGAATGGGGTTGGGCATTCTGCCCATGTAAAATGACCAAAGGTGAAGGAGTGAATCTGATGGAAAACAGTTGTCTGAGGAGTGATTTTAGGGGAGAAAATGATTAAAAGGGTAACCAGAGGTTGTCTACTTTCCCAAAGAACTAGGGAAGGGACATGGGGATTGTGATTAGGAAGATTTTGCTATAAAATTCTATGGATGATCTAGGAAACAGGATTTTTAAAAAGTAATCAAGAAACCTAAGCTATAACATTATAGTCAATGTTATTCTTAAAAAGTATTTGTTTTTTTAAATCAAATTTCCCTTTTCCTCCCACCTATCCTTCTTCTGCATATAAAGTTAGAATTATATTTAAAGACTGCATATTTAGTATTTAGACACTCAGTATTTGAGGATAGTCCCAGAAATAGATATTAAACTTAGTAAACATTTTATCTTTCATGCAAGTGATGGGGAGCAGTGGCCAAAATAATCTAAAAATTCTTTCTAGATCAGTGCTTTCCAGTGATGATGGAAATGTTATATATTTGCACTGTTCAGTATGGTAGCTACTAGCCACTTCTGGCTATTGAGCACTTAAAATATGGCTAGAGTGACTAAGGAACTAAATTTTTAGTTTTATTTAATTTTAATGAATTTAAACAAAAAAAATTTTTTTTCTCGTTTTTTTTGATGGCTGGCTGGTAAGGAGATCCAAACCCTTGAGCTTGATAAATTAAAAAAAATTTTTTTTGTTAGCTGGTTGGTACGAAATTAAATTTTAAATATACACATGTAGCTTGTGGCTACTGTATTAGATAGCTCAGTTCTGAATGTTTTGGAAGGCATTTGATTTTCTTTTTCATGAGGGATTACTTTCCTTTTGATTGTGCCTAATAGCAAAAATGAGTTTGTATTCTCTGATCGCATTCTGACTTGTGGCAAAAAGAAACAGCCAGAACTATACTGGTTGGCAAGGGCAACCAGCCTGTGATTTTAAACTGGCTAAGGGTACTTCCCACGGATACAATCAAGAGCTGACAATACACATATGGGGCTTCAATCTAGCAGAGAAAAGCCATGAAAATCTTTTTTTAAAAAGTCTATTCCCTTTTGGACTTTAATTTCACAAGCTAAGGGCCAGGTTTAAATTTTAGTCATGCTCTATGCCCTATGAGAGGCATTTCCATATGCTCTTGCTATGAAATATAGACTCAAGAAAATTTTTTAAACCATGTGAGATAGTATCACAATTTCATTCCTTGCAATGACTTAAGTCCTACAATAAAAGCACAAAATAGTAGGTTTATTCCTTGTTTTTCATTGATAAGCTAATTAGCTTATTTGCTGCTGTTGTTCTTTCTTGTACCAGACATACACGAGCATGTACTGCACTAGCCTGAGAGCTGCTTGAGGGTAGGGTTCCTCACTATCCAGCTTTCCAGCCGTGGATTCTAGCAAAGTGCCTGGCACTTAATAATTGTGTAATAAGTCAATTTTGTGGATATGTGAGACTGGTGATAAGTATAGTCTATTTTGCTCAATCTAATAATTCCTGGAGTAGGTGACATTTCTTTGCAGCTTTGAAGAATACAAGGAATAAGGCTTCACAATGGAGGGCATGATTTTGTCCTAAATTTAACTTATTATGTCTTAAGTTCCTCAAACATCACCTCCTTTTGTTTTTCTTTTCCCAGCCTCATCCCCACTTTCTAAGCTAGAAACATAAGAAATAGTCCTCCCTTTCTTCCCTTTAACCTGCACTTCACATCCGTTTATCCACCCAAACCTAGAAATTCCCTACAGTTCTTCCTGAGACATAGCTCGCCCCATGCTCCTCTCCTCTGCCATATCCCTAGTTCCAGTGCCCGTCATTTCTTCTTTAGCTTGTTGCAGCAGCCTCTTAACTGGGCTTTCTGACTGGTCTTTCTCTACTTTAGTTCATTCTCCAGCTTCCTCTAAAATAATAATAATTTTTTTTTTGTCCTTTTTGAGACCGGCCGCACCGCGCTCAGCCAGTGAGTGCACCGGCCATCCCTATATAGGATCCGAACCCATGGCGGGAGCGCTACTGTGCTTCTAGCACCGCACTCTCCCGAGTGCGCCACAGGCTCGGCCCAAAAATAATAATAATTTTGATAAACCAATAATTTTGCCACTCCTGTACTTAACTCCTCTTGCCTGTGTGATGCTGACTCTGCTGTTTAGGTATAGTACCCCACCCCCCAGCCCTTCACCCTAGCTTCACCCACCTTTCCAGTTTCCTGACTTACCCCTCCTGTCAGGCAGCCCACCTTCAGGCACACTCACCTCTTACTATTCTCTGAACACACTGTATCCTTTCAGGATCCAGTACTTTTATAGCAGCATTCTGTCACTACACCTGACATGATCTTCTCTCTGCCCATTGTCTCATGCTTTCTTACTCTCTATCAGCTCAGATATCAGCTGGAAAAGCTTTCCTTGAATCAACCAGCAAAGCCAGCCTCTTTCTCTGCTGGGTGCCCAGAGCACTTAGACATTTCTCTGACAGTACATGTTTGTTTACATCTCTGCCTCTTGTACTGCATGATAAGCTCCTTGGGAGCAAGAACGGAGTCCTGTCAGCTCTGGGTCCCCAGCACCTGACATGTAATGAATATCCAAATGTTGTTTAAAATGTTCTTGGAGGACTAGAGGTTTTTTTAAGCTCAAAATAGAGCCTAGAATAGAATTTAAAGATGGGGAGACAAAGATGAGGGTGTTGATGAGGAAGCCAACTTGGCTGGAGAAGACAGTGGAGTGCAAGCACTGAGGCATGTGGAACAGGTGTGGATATTCACCTTGCCAGATGGAGGAACAGGCTCCAGAAAGTTCAGGGACATGCCCAAGGCCATGTGGTGAATAAGTGGCAAAGTTAAGATTCAAACCCAACTTTCCTACCTCCCACTGTACAGTCTTTAAAACTTTTTTTTTAAATCACAAGAACCAAATGAGAGAATAGGAGAGAATGCACTTTTGTAGTGCACACTATGTGCTGGGCACTGTTGGGGTTTACAGATTTGAACTTATTTAATCCTCCTAATAATCCTATGAGGTAGGTACTGTTTTTATCTCCATTTTATAGATGAGGAAACTGAAGTACAGAGATGCTGAGTAACTCATCCAAGGTCATTGATAAGAAATAGCAGTGAGGGTTTGAATCCAGGCCAGTCTGGCTTCGGAGTCCATGCTTGTAAATGCTAGACCCTGCTGCCTCTCCATGCAAACCATTTTTTTTAACATCAGGATTATAATTATAATTCTTCCTTTCCCCCTCCCTGTTAAATAGAGTGGCAACATCTTTATAGGGGATGAACGTATTTCCTATAGACTCCTCATCCCTGCATTTGTCCTCCTCCAGACTCTCTTCCCACTCCTCTGCACACTTTCTGTGCCATGCCCTGCTCCCTCTGCCAGGATTCTCACTTGCTATTTCTTCCTCACAGAAGTGCATTAGCAGAGGGGAGCTCCAGGTGTCTCTGTCATATCAGCCTGTGGCACAGAGAATGACAGTGGTAGTCCTCAAAGCCAGACACTTGCCGAAGATGGATATCACCGGTCTCTCAGGTAGCAGCTATTTACTTCAACCTATTTCTGACTGTCTGAACCACTCCCCCATTCCTTTCCTGCAGCCCAAATACACCCCGACATTTCAGGACCCCTTGCCTCTTTTCCTTTTTATCGGTTCCTTTCTCTGTTTACATTCTCTTCCTGATGAATGTCTAGGTCCAATGGATTTCCCTAGTTGGGGAGGTGCTTTAGGTGAACAGATAGTCTTTACACTTGGTGAGGTATCCTAAACGATATGCATGCAGATGCTGAACATTTGCTCTAGGTGAGACTTCTCAAAAAGTCTGCAGGCATTTGTTAGTCCCTGTGCCCTTGAAAATGCTTCCTGGTGTCATGGGGTTTTTCAGACCTGACTGTTCTGTTCTATTCCCGCTTGGTTTCCTTGACCTCTTGTCCAGGCGGGCAGACTTACATGTATAGTCAGTGTGCATTTATTGTGCAATCACTGAAGACCATGTGGGGCTGGCTACCAAAGATACAAACAACAGAGCCCCCTCCTTTCCAACATGAAACCACCATTATAAAGGAGAGGACTGTGTCATAGGCTTGTCTCCTTTTTTCTTATCTCTTTGGGGGCCCCAGATCCTTATGTCAAGGTGAACGTCTACTACGGCAGAAAGCGCATTGCCAAGAAGAAGACCCATGTGAAGAAGTGCACTTTGAACCCAGTGTTCAATGAGTCTTTCATCTATGACATCCCCACTGACCTCCTGCCTGACATCAGCATCGAGTTCCTTGTCATCGACTTTGATCGCACCACCAAGAATGAGGTGGTGGGAAGGCTGATCCTGGGGGCACACAGTGTCACAGCCAGTGGTGCCGAACACTGGAGAGAGGTCTGCGAGAGCCCCCGGAAACCTGTGGCCAAGTGGCACAGTCTGAGCGAGTACTAATCCTGTTCTCCTTGCCTCTAACCCCGGGGCCACGCTGGGGAGGGACGTAGTGGGGAGAGAGATGACAGAGAAGTGGACTCAAAACCTCATTTTAGTTGTAGAAGAAAATTTCTTACAAAACAAACCCCACAAGGAACACCCCATATGATCACAGTCGCAGATCAGTTCTTAGCAATGATGATTTTTTGCAAGGCACTAGAAATTCTTTTTTTTTTAAGGGGGGGGAAAAAGAGAGGGAAAGACCCTTACAAGTCTATATATAACAATGTAACCTTATACTTGCATGTCTAATCAAACTGAAGAAATTAGCCTAACAGCCAATATCAAGTTGCTGATTTTAATCCATGAAAATTGTGTTTTGTGCCGAATTGTATTTGCTGATTATTTGAAATTGGCCTCTTTTTTATTGGGCTTCTCTGGAGAGTTACTCCCACTCCCCATCTCTGCAGAAGAAAATTTTGCTCTTGTAAAACCTCATGATTTCATCATCCCCATCTTTTCTCCCTATTACCTCTTATATCTTTGCTCTTTGGCTGAGCTCAAGGTCCAGAGGTCTGTAGTAAGCCAAGAAACAAAGGAGGGATGGATAATGCAGGGTTTGCAGGAGAGAGTAACTGAGGGGGTATTTTTACTGTCAGCCCTCCTGCTATGAAGTTGTAAAGGGCAGTCTATGGTTAATTGGTAGCCCTGATGAAGCACACAGAACACATCAGACTTACCAAGTAGAACTTGGATTTACAAAACTAGATGACTTCTCTAAAAGGAGCTTTGGAGACTTCAAATTTAGCTATAGGATAGTACAAATGAACACATCCAGCTGATCCCAAATGCTATTTGCAGGTATGAGGACAAGGAGAGGAGAAATGAGATGACTATCCTCTCCCCATCTGGTAGTGACAGCCATTTCTTGGTTGATGGGTTGGAAGTCATCAGAGATCTGAAGGATTACATTGACCTTTGTTTTTCCAGAAATGCTGACCATAGAGAAGCCTTAGGGTCTTCTCAAGTGGCTTAGATATTATAATGAGATTACATTTACTTCATAAGGAAAAAGCCTCTTATAAATTATTCCTTGAATTTTTCAATAACAGCTCTTAAGAAAATAACAGTGTGACTGAGTAATATAGATAGCTTGGATTCTTCCAGAACATCCTCTCCCTCAAAACAATGTATGTCGTTCTTTGAACTTAGAGTGTGTCATGACATGGTGGAGGAATGGGGGAACCACAGAGTTTAATACTCCTGCCACTGGGCAGTACAAATTGAGAGAGATTCAGCATCTTGCTGGGATTAGAATTCAGGTATACTTACTCCTAGTACATCCATGTCTCCAGTGTTGAGACTCCAGGTGATAGAGACTTCACTGACAATAGATAAGATTGGATAGGCAATATTTATTTTTACCAGCCTGAAGAGGAACTTAAATAAACAACAGCTTGACCCAGGGCCTGAAAGATTAGCTCAAATTGAAGTGTCCACTTTCTGACACTTTCTGACTTGCTTCTGAGGAGTTGAGAAGTTGAGTCTCCACGGAGAGGGTGGTGATCTTGCCTTTGGTAGTCTCTTAGCTCTTGTGGATTTAAAACCAATCTGCCCCCACCCCCAATCCTTTTTTTTTGTTTTAACCAGATTCTTGACAATGCAGAGCTCTGAGCAGGCACAAAGCCCATTCTGTTCTTGTCCCTGTCAACCCCCATCCCCCATAAGCAGACTCACTATCTCACCATCAGTTGAGGTCACACCACTAGTGTCATATCTATACCCCATGGAATGTAAATACTGTATCATACGTAGAAGAAAATAATTTCTGTTTTCTAAAAATGCATTTTGAGATAGTTTAATGTTAATGAAACAGGAGCATTCTGAAGCCCCATTAGGAAAAAAATTAAATGGTTCCTCTTCATCGCCTTAAAGTCTAAAGATCAGAAATTGCTGAGCAACCCGCTTTTGTTTCCTTCCCAGAAACAAAGCAAAGCAACAGGTGAAGATAGTCTGGTCTTTGCCCTGCTGTGTGTGCCTCTGTAGCTCCTCCTGACGTTAAGTCTGGGAAAACAGCCTTGCCCCACTCCTCTCTTCCCCATCTCCTTGTAGCTTTATTCCTTGCATTCTTTGGGTCTACTGAGCAGAAGGTGGCGAGGTGACAGGAAGAAACCGTTAGTTCTGTAGCCTAGGAGCTACCTCAGTGTCTTTGCCAGAAAATGGCAAAGAGGTGAACAATCCAGGGTTCCTCCCACCTATCTCATCCTGGATCATCGTGCCCTTGATTTTGCTGTCCCAAAGTTTCTTAGCTGACTTTGGCTTTCACATTTGTGTTTTCCAGAGATAATTGATAAGGGTGGAGGAGGAATGCCTCCTCCTAAGAGTCAGGTGAAAGACAAGAGAGTCACATCCCAGCTTTTGCACAAGGCACCATGGTCAGGAATAGGTTAGGGAATGGTCACTTCTGATTTTCCAAGGGTCAGTCCTTCTCTGAGGATATCTTGATTCCTTTGGGAAGACAAGAGTTGTTCTTAATGACGGAAGTCCCTTTATGAGTTATTCCTTCTTTCAGTTTTCAGTGGAGCACAGCCAAGATGTACATGTTTCTGAACAGAGCCCTAGATATGAAAACAGTTAGAACTGGTTTTGGGGACAAGGGTGGCTTGCTCAGGAGAAGGAATAGTGCAAGTCCCTTTTCTTGGAAGGCTTTTACTATGGCCATGACAGTGACATTGCCCTCACCGTGATCCCTCTCCAAAGTGGTCGTCTTTCTTTACCTTGTGTCTTCTCTTGTAAAAATGAAACTCAAAACTAAAATAAACGTGTCAAATTTAAAAAAAGAAAAGAAAAAAATTGAAAAAGCTAACATGAATCGTGTGAAATTGCTTAATGCTGTAACGCTAACCTACACTATGTAATGCTATCTTGTATGTTGAATTTGTTAATGCACCACACAAGTGCAAAATAAAGACTGATTCACATCAAATAGGCACAGTGATGTCAGCATGACTCTCTTGGAAGCTGGATGAGTATGAATGAAGTTAACACTCAGACTCCAAAAGAATGTTCTTGGGGCGTGTTGCCTGTCAAGAGTCCTGTTCTTGCCAGGACTGGTCCTGAGTTAAATAAACAAAAAGAGACCTGTTCTTGGGGAGCTTAGCAGAGGACAATATTAATCAAATAATCACGCTAATGAATGTATAATTACAAACTGGGAAGTGCCCTGAAGGAAAAGGAACACAGGTCAATGCAACATTCTGGGGTAACCTACTGGGGTGATATGACCATTGCAGCTGCTCTTTGTGGATTTCTCTGCATGCCTTAAAGTCTGAAATGATTCACTTTTCATATTTTCTGTTCTGTGTAATTATATTCCCTGTCGGGGCCAGCCCGTGGCTCACTCGGGAGAGTGCGGTGCTGATAACACCAAGGCCACGGGTTCGGATCCCATATAGGGATGGCCGGTTCGCTCACTGGCTGAGCGTGGTGCTCACAACACCAAGTCAAGGGTTAAGATCCCCTTACTGGTCATCTTTAAAAAAAAAAAAAAAAAAAAAAATTATATTCCCTGTCAGAGGAAGAGAGAAAGGAAGCAGGAGAATCAGTCCCTGCACTTTTAAAGTTTTGGTGAAGGAACTAAAAAACTTTTTTTGTGTATGGCTGGCCTGTAAGGGGATCCAAACCCAGGACCTTGGGTTTATAAGGCTGTACTCTAACCAACTGAGTTAACTGGCCAGCCCTAAAAAAAACATTTTTTAACTACAAAACTAATATAATAAGTACACTATAAGAAAATTGGAAAATAGGGAAAAGGAAAAAAATAAAAATTTCAAAACCTTAACAGCGATTTCATCTTCTAGTCTTATTTCCTGTATATTTTCCCCATGATTTGTCACTCAGGATTACTGTAAAAAATGTGTAATATAGGGCCGGCCCGTGGCTCACTCGGTAGAGTGCGGTGCTGATAACACCAAGGCCACGGGTTCGGATCCCATATAGGGATGGCCGGTTCGCTCACTGGCTGAGCGTGGTGCTGACAACACCAAGTCAAGGGTTAAGATCCCCTTACCGGTCATCTTTTTAAAAAAAAAAAAAAAAATGTGTAATATAGGGCCGGCCCGTGGCTCACTCGGTAGAGTGCGGTGCTGATAACACCAAGGCCACGGGTTCGGATCCCATATAGGGATGGCCGGTTCGCTCACTGGCTGAGCGTGGTGCTGACAACACCAAGTCAAGGGTTAAGATCCCCTTACCGGTCATCTTTTTAAAAAAAAAAAAAAAAAAATGTGTAATATAAAGTATAAGTTCATAGAAACAGGAAAAAAAATCCACCTAGAGGCAAGTATTGCTAATTTTGGCACATCTTCCAATTTAAATTATCTTATGATTGCAATCATGTCATGTATATAATTTTGTATATTACTTTTTCAATGTGACAGTCAAAAAATAACATGATCATATAACAACAATGATGGCACTAAGGATGCTTTTAGCTACAATTAACAGGAAACCCCATTCAAAGTGGCTAAAACATTAAGAAAATGTATTGGATCACCCAATTGGAAGTCCAGAGCTGGGACAGACTTCAGAGTTGACTTCTGCAACAGGTCACTGATACTATCAAGGACCCAGGTCCTTTCTGTGGGCCCACTCTGACATTCAATGTTGCTTCATCCTGAGCGGTTTTTTGGGTTTTTTTTAAAGTTGACCCGTAAGGGGATCTTAACCCTTGGTTTGCTGTTGTCAGCACCACACTCAGCCAGTGAGCCAACCAGCCATCCTATATAGGATCCGAACCCATGGCGTTGGTGTTATCAGCACCACACTCTCCTGAGTGGGCCATGGGCTGGCCCATCCTGAAGTTTTTATCTGATTAACACTCTCAGGACTCCTTGCTTCCTCATCCACTTCTGTGGGAAAGAGGAGATTGCTTCAGGACCTCTGCCAGAGTAATAAGATAGCTTTATTCCCAGAATAAGTTCCCAGAAAACTCTAGCAATTCTATCTTTTAGTCTTTCTTTTTTTCGTCCTTTAGTCTTGCTGGTCCAAAATGTGTCACATGATCATTTCTGAACCAATCGTTGACAAGGAGGATGAAATTATCTTTAGGCCACTTAGGACTGCCCTGGAGCTGGGTGTGGGAAAAGGGTGTATTCTTGAATCAAACATCGGTTCCTTTGGAAGGACAAATGGATGCTGGGTGGACAACCAACAAAGATCACTACCTTGTTTTCTATAGTACCTTCCGCTCCATGGTACTTTCTCATGTGATCTTATAACAAACTTTCAGAAAAGAGTTGCCAACATAGTAAAGGCCTCACATACTGACCTGATCCATCCCCCATACCTCATGGTTTGAAAAGGCAAAGAGCCTAGTGTTTGGAGTCCTCTTTAAATACTTCAACAGCAGCGTAAGTGTAGATGTAGGGCATAACTTTTCAGAAAGCTAAGGATATATCTATTCTTAGTATAACTTTAGTAAGATAGTAAACTGGTGAGCATTCGAATTGCCCAATACTGTATAAACTATGTTAAATACCTCCTTCTGAGTACCTCAAAGAAATGCTGAAAATACTGGTTGGCCTTTAAGAACAAACTACTAGAGGAAGTATTAAGGATCAACAAGCCCAGGATTAGATGTGCTAATAAAAATTTTGGATAAAAGACTGGGAACTGATTAACTACTCTTAGTGCTCAAGCCTGGGGAGCTGATAATTCACCTCAAATGTTATATTAAACCTCAAACTGATTGAAAGACTCTGACAGGACCATAAAGATGAACTCATTTTCATTCTTTTTTCTTCCTATTTTTTAACTAAAAAATAAAATTTGTGGGGCTGGCTGGTTAGCTGCGTTGGTTAGAGCGTGGTGCTGATAACAGCAAGGTCCAGGGTTCGATCCCTGTACTGGCCAGCCACCCCCCCAAAAATAAACAAAATAAAATTTGTGTATATTTATGGTGTACAATATGATGTTTTGAAATATGTATGCATGTGTAACGGCTAAATCAAGCTCACATTCTCATCATTTACTGGGGTTGAGAACACCTAAAATCTACTCTGGTTGCAATTTTCAAATATATGAGGGTACTTCAAAAAGATCATGGAAAGATTTGTATTGTCTTTTAATTCCAATTTTCCATGAACTTTTTTTTTTTTTGGTCTTTTTTGTGACCGGTAAGGGGATCGCAACCCTTGGTGTGGGGTCACCCGCACCGCACTCAGCCAGTGAGCGCACCCAGCCAGTCCTATATAGGATCCAAACCCGCGGCGAGAGCCTCGCTGCGCTCCCAGCACAGCACTCTCCCGAGTGCGCCACGGGGCGGCCCTCCATGAACTTTTCAAAATATGGTTGTATAATACATTGTTATTAACTGTAGTTACTATGTTATATAATAGATCTCTTGAACTTATTCCTTCTGTCTGAGCTTTTGTATCCTTTGACCAACATCTCCCCAATACCGCACACCCCATCGATTTTTTTTTTTTTCCTTTTTGTCTTTTTTTTTCGTGACCTGCAACGGATCGCAACCCTCAGTGTCGCGCCCGTACCGGACCGGGACCGGCCACGGGATCGCAACCCTCGGTGTCGCTCCCGCAGCTCGCTCAGCCAGTGAGCGGCTGGTCTGTATGTGGGATCCGAACCCTCGGCGGGAGCCCCGCCGCGCTTCCCAAGCGGCGCACTGCAGCAGTGCGCCACCCGGGCCGGCCCACACCCCATTGATTTTAATAATGATGACAAAAATAGCTACAGCGGATTGAATGTTTACCTGTGCTGGGCACTATTTTAAGCACTTCATATATATAAAACTCATTCGATCCTTACAACAAGCCTGTTGGATATATACTGTTACTATTCCCCATTTAACAGATGAGAAAAGTGAAATTCGGAGAGGTGAGATAGCTTGCTCCAAGTTCACAGAGGTCATAAGCAATGGAGCCTTTGGCAGTCTGACTCCAGTAGCTATATTTTTCTACCATCGCTGCTGGTGAAGATTTCAAAGTAAGATGCAAACAGCCTAATGGGAACTAATACAAATTAGAATGTGCTCATGATTTTGATTCCAATGTCCTCAAGAATGTTTTAGAGGGCCACCTGCAATAGTGTGAAACCATTTTCATGATTTACACTCACTCACACCAAACTGGTCTCTCCCCAGGCATTTTTCTAAGTTAACATTTAATTATTGTTTACCAAGCAGTTGAAATTGCTACTTGTCCTTTACCCCTTCTCACTCTCTTAACATCCAAATCTCTCACATCAGATTTTGCACCTTAGCATTAGAGGTGCCCACAAAACAAAACTGAGACTCCAAGACCTGTGTGCTTGTTTTTATTCACTGTTGAATTCCCAATGCTAGCACAATGCCTGCCATGCAGCAGGCACTCGATAAAGGCAGAGAAGCAGGAAACAAAACATTGTCTGGGAAGCAAACTTAAGGCAAACACGAAAAGGCTTTGTTTCTTCTTCCTCCTTATTCTGGTTTGGAATTTCAAAAGAAGTTTGGTCTAGAGTTGAGTTTTGGTTTTGGTTTTTTGGTGGTGGTGGTGGTGGGTGTGTATTATTAGCTGCAACCAGGCCCACATATGAGGGTATTTCAAAAGTTAGTGGAAAAATAGAATTGAGATAATACAAATCTTTCCATGAACTTTTTGAAATACCGTCATATTCTCTTGAGCTGTCTAAGGATATGAATGTAACAGTGGTCAGAATATTTTGGGTGGGACTGTATGAGTTACTTCTGACTGATTGATGTGCATGCTTTACTGACCAGGCCAGCAGAGATGTTATGCTGGATAACACTGTTTGAGCACATATTTGGACTCATCTTCTCTGCCTTTGCCCCTTCACCTACACATTCCTCCGCAAGAAAACAAGAGTAGGCATCTGGTGGGGGATGTTTTGGGAGCTAAAGACTTTCTTCTGGCTCAGAGCATACTGTAATAAACTCTAGCAATAACCAGCTGTGGGAAGGGCAGGAAATGAGACATGTCCCCACCCTAGCAGCTTTTGTTCAAAAACTGGGTGACTTCATGATATAATCATGTGTGCCGAGGAATGTATGCACTGAACCAAAAGCTGACACCATTGTGGCTTTGTTTGTTTGTTTATAAGAAACCCACTTTACATTTTTTAAAGCAGGAATTATTATTAGCCAAAACCTTTCAGTAATTTTATCTGAAAGCCAACTCACGTTTTTTTGTTTTGTTTTTTGTTTTTTGTTTTAAAAGATGACTGGTAAGGGGATCTTAACCCTTGACTTGGTGTTGTCAGCACCATGCTCTCCCAAGTGAGCTAACTGGCCATCCCTACATAGGGATCCAAACACATGGCCTTGGTGTTATCAGCACCACACTCTCCCGAGTGAGCCATGGGCCAGCCCAAAGCCAACTCACTTTTAACAGTTGATTGGAAATTTCAAAATACCCCAAACATTAAGTCCTTTGTTCTAACCAGTGGTTTCCTTAATAACAAGATGTGTTTTTCTTGCTTGTCCCCACAGCCAAAATCCCGTTTCCTTACTTGTGCACTACTATAGCAGCCTTCTTGTTGCTCACTTCTAGCTATTCTCCATTCTTACACCATTCTGTATATAGCTCCTAAAATTTATGTACCTGTTAACTACAACTTTATCTATCGCTGCTTTATGCAGTCCTCCAATGATCTCCCTAGCCACTTCAATATCATCCAGCTCAGTGATTCCAGCTCAGTGATCTTGAAATGTCTGCAATCAGAATTACCTGAGGAAGTTTTTGTTTTAATATAGATTCCTGAGTCCTATCAGATCTATCAAATCAAAATTTCCAGAGGTAGCTGGCCAGTTATCTCAATAGGTAGAGCATGGTGCTGGTAACACCAAGGTCAAGAATTTGGATCCCCTTATCAGACAGCAGCAAAAAAAAAAAAAAAAAAAAATTCCAGAGGCTGAGCTGAGAAAATGAGAAAAACAAAAAGCCTCTTTAGCTATTTCTGATCCAGAATGAACAGGTATTTGGGAACCACACACATTTCAGACCTGCTTTCAAGGCATTCTACCTCATTAGCCCTACCCTATTGGGCTTTTGCTTTACCCTAGCCTAGCTCCTTTTTTTTGGGGGGGGGGGGGGCCGCAGCTGGCTGGTCTGGGGATCTGAACCTTGGACCTCAGTGTTATAACACTGTGCTCTGAGCTAACCAGCCAGCCCTGTCCTAGCTCTTACCCTTTAACCAGCTCCAAGCTTGCTTTGTGATGCCCATTCCACGTAGAACATAATACAGTTTTGACTTTGCCACTCTCAAACTCTGCATTGGAGTTGTCCTACATACATGATCCTTAACTTTTCTATTGGTTCAAGTCACATTTTTCCTCCTATTCACTACAATTTTGAGAAATCTTTATGGTTTAATTCTACCTACCAACTTAATCCTAGACTTTTCAGTGAATTATTTTAATTAGTCAATGTAATGTCTCTCTCTTTATGTTACCTATTTAGTGCCCTGTCTTCTCAATCAATTGGAAACCCACTAGGAGCAGAAACCATGTGTGAGCAGTCTCACAGTTAGGTGACTTATTTTAGCCTCATAAAACTGGCTGTGCCCAATTCTTACTGTCTGGATCTGTGAAGGAAACAGAGGTCTGCAAGGCTCTATAGAGATGGATAAACTCACTTAAACTGTCTGACCACACCCTCCTATAAACTAAAATCCATCCTGGTTCCTCCAGGCTTCAATGATGCCAAGCAAGCAGCAAATCAATTCAACTAACTGATCAAAGGAGAATGTCCTTTCTGCAGACAAAAGCTAAGGCAGCTATAGCTTTCTTCATGGAGATGGGTGCAATTTAGGCAAATAGGTGAATAGCACACTAGTGAAACACAGTTAACCAATAAACCAAGGAAGAATAACAACAGATCCAGCTTTCAACTGTCATTGAAAAACCTTTTTGAAACTTTCTAAAAGTTTTAAAAATTTTTTATTAGGGCTGAGCCCGTGGTGCACTGGGGAGAGTGCGGCGCTGGAAGTGCAGTAGCGCTCCCGCTGCAGGTTCAGATCCTATATAGGGATGACCGGTGCGCTCACAGTGCTCACTGGCTGAGCGCGGTGCGGCCGGTCTCAAAAAAGGACAAAAAAAAAACCAAAAAACTTTTTTTATTAAATCATAATTGATCATACATACTTTGGGGGTTCAACGTTGAGATATGCTGATCGAATCAGTATTACTAAAATATATATTGTTACAAATTGTAACTTATTCTTTATGCTCCTTGTCCAATCTCTCCCCATCACCCTCTCTTCCCCCTACCCCCCTTTTTTTGTTTTTTTGACCGGTAAGGGGATCGCAACCCTCGGCACAGTGTGGTCTGGCCATCCCTATATAGGATCTGAACCCACGGCCTCAGTGCTACCAGCTCCGCACTCTCCCGAGTGAGCCACAGGGCCGGCCCCCCCTTCCCCCTCTAATTACCCTAGATTTCTTCTCTCCTTCTGAAAGAGTAATGGTTACTCTGCTGATTTGTTGCCTAGATGATCTGTCCAATGCTGAGAGGTGTGTTCAGGTCCCCCAATATTACCATAGAGCAGATGCTTCTTCTGTCACTCTGGAATGGGCTTTGTGGAGAGAGATATCCTCTTATTTTCTTTGGTCTCTTCTGATGACTCTCCTTGTGTCAATGCACTCCAGTGGCTAGTGGACCATCTGCATGGTGGTTATGGCACCTAGCTGCTTTCGTGGCAGCTATGGTTATTTTGGTGGCTGTGGTGGGCCACCCACATGGAGGTGATGATTTTGGCATGCTCCTTGGCACTGACAGTGTGCCTCGTTGTGTGTTGGGGGGGTCCAGTCCCCGGATCCAAGCCTCAGGTCCCTGGGTGGGCCTTGAGGAACTGGCGGTGCATCTGGTTGTGGGAGGGGGGGGGGGGCTGGTCCCTGGCTACATACCTTAAGACCCCGGGTGGGCCCCAAGGCATTTTTGAAACTTCTGAGTTAAATACAAATACAATTGCTATTTCATAATTTACTTATTCTTTATTTACCTAATACAGTATACCTAATTATTCCCACCAATCTTAGTGGGGAGAAAGATAAAATTAATTTGTGAAGTGAAACCATTTAGAGAGATATTTTGAGGGCAGGGTGAGTAATCTCTTTAATCAGAGAACAAGGATTTCCAATTACTTCCCTTTATGGTTATACCATGTAAGTTTTAGTTCTAGCTAAGCTGACAAAATGTGGAAAGAACAATTTAAAAATAAAATTTAATTTGAAGCTGAGCAAATCTAGGATTGGTGGAAATCCAACATTTTCAGTATTGAACCTTTTTTTTTTTTTTTTTTTTGGTGGCTGGCTGGTATGGGGATCCAAACTGTTGAGGTTGGTGTTATTACACCACACTCTAACCAACTGAGCTAACTGGCCAGCCCCTTGAACCATCATTTAAAGCCAAGTCCTTGTCAAAGTTAACAAGGAGTATTAAAAAGTAAGATTTCAAATTCCTATGTCTCACCCTTCTCAAGATTGAGTATGGAAAAGGTGTAACACTACCAATTACTTAGGAGTTTACTAAACTTATACAAGAAATTTTTAGACAGAAAGCAATAAATACTAGGAATGAGGAGAAATTTCAGAAGTTACATCTCTTTGACTTTATTATTCCATTCAAATTAAATTCAATCCCTCTTTAATTTGTCTCCTCTTCCATTAGCTCTTAAGGAGTCAGGCTCCTCCTATTTGCCATGGACAATACTAATTCCTTCTTTTTTGGAATTCCCATATTCCCAGTTTGAAGTATACAGCCTACTCTTTAAAGTCCATAGTTGTTTTGTCCATGCAAATTTTATCAAAGCTCCAGAGAAGAGACCATATTTTATATTCCTTTCAATCACAGCTCTTAAAACAATGCTTAGTGCACAGAAGAGGCTTATAAATACTTTGACTGTAATTCTATTGCCCTAACAGGGGTTATATTAGAAAATAGAATGCCACTCCTCCATGTCCCCCACTTCTATAGCAGACAATACCGACAGTTACTGACCCATTCAAAAAATGTTAAATAACGAGGACACAAAAATACATTCCTTTAATGTCCAAACTAGGTCCTCTCTAGTAGCCCATTTAAGAGTAGTGGAGATAAAAGCAATGACCTTCATATAAAAAATTATCATTCTCTCACATTCTCTTGAAACAATTTTAAATCCCCCTTAATCAGGTGGCAAATGCACTATCATTTCCATGCTTTTTTTTAAAAAGATGACCGGTAAGGGGATCTTAACCCTTGACTTGGTGTTGTCAGCACCACGCTTACCCAGTGAGCTAACCGGCCATCCCTATAAGGGATCCGAACCCGGGGCCTTGGTGTTATCAGCACCGTACTCTCCCGAGTGAGCCACGGGCCGGCCCATCATTTCCCATGCTTTTCCTCTCTCCTTATCAACAGGAGATTCTTTGAATTAAGGGGCATTCCATAGCATGCTCTCTAGCACTTGACATAGGTGTTCTGTGCATGGTAGGCACTCAATTATTTTTTAATCAATATTTTCCAGAATATAAAATTTCATGGCATTTTTTCTTAAAATGACCCTTTTGCAATGATTTAAAACATTTCTACCCACTCATAGGTAAGTAAAGAAAAAGCCCAACAAGCTGCTTAAAAGTTTTGTATTGTGTCATAGTCTTCATATACAAGTGTGTAAGTAAAAAAAATTTTCTCTCTCCTCCCCAAACATCATAGTAGATCAATTCTTGCTAATATATCACAAAGTTAAAACTTATGTCCCCTTCTGAATTCTAAACAGCTAATTCTAGACATTAGCTTCTGAATCTTGTAATTTAGTGATCTGGTATGGACATGCACAGTTCCAGTGCCTTTCAACTTGTCCCTGAATTTTTCTCTCTTCAAAGTTCCAGGCAGTAATTAATTTTAATGCTCTCAAGTTAGATAAAACTGATTCCTTAGAGCTTATAAATTACCTACACTGTACAATCACTACAAATAGAACTATGAGATATACATATTATACCCCTCAAACTCTCTAGCACCATGAATAGAATTCTTAATGCTAATTGATGTACTAATTAATCCAAGGATCAAATATATGACAGCAGTAGTCTTAAAAACACTCATTTATTATTTTTCTTATATACAGTACAAATTCCGTTCTATCTTATAGATCTTTCTTTCTGGCAATATTCTCCATTGCCTTGACTATCTTCAATAATTATATAGCTGTCAATGTCTTGCTTGATACTAATAACAATTCCCTAAGTCATTAGTAATGAGAAGCTAAGGCATTAAACTAAAAGGCTCTAAACTAGTTTAAATGTGGTGAAATATTGTTGTAGTAGAACCGCATTGTATTTCTTTTCTACTTTCATGCTTCTCCAAAGTGCTATGGTTCCTGTGAGATTTTTGACTTGCACAGACTCAAATTCTGGGTTTTTCACTTTTGGATGGCTTGAGTACAGTAAAACATGATTTAGTTGGTAGGAAAATGTTTCCAGGAGTTTCAAAATGGACCACTACACAGAGCTAAAAAGTTACAACTCACTTTTCTTTAAATCTAGAACACATACCATTAGTTTATAAAGAAAAACACAACAAATCTGTCCTCTTGCTGGTAATGAAAATGGAAAATAGTTGAGCTGTGCACTTTCTAAGAGGTACTACACAAAAGCATCTTCTAAGAGTTTAAAGTGGACACAAATACTGCTTCAGTGACATTTAATATTCAATACATGATGCTTTACTCTTAGCACTTTTACATTTACTCTCCACACATAAGTTCAGATATCAAAATAATCCTGATCCTAAAAGAGAACTCACCACCAATATTTAAAGCTGTTTCTTCCTAGGACTATAGTTTCTCAACTATGCACAGGAAGCAAAGTGGTATTCTCTTAGGCTAAACTTTGTCAAGGCTCAGACAATCCTGGGGCAAACTTAGCAAGATCTTGTAAAGAAGTCTTCTGATGAAAAACTCAACACATGTGAACTTTAAAGCTTTAAGACTGACTCATTAAACAGAAATACCACAGACTTTCTCAGAGCACTGAGTCTAGTGGCTGTTGATGTCAAGGAGGCACATACATAATTTTACTCAAACTTCTGGTCTCTATTCTGTATGGAAAATGCAGTCAGCCTGATGAAGGGCCTAAAAAACATGTTGACAGGCAAGTAGCTCTTCTAAAGAGCACAGGGAAGTAAGACAAAACACTAAGAAACAATTAATTAAATGCACTGGTGTGTGCATCTGTGGGAAAAAAATTAACTTGTACAAGGCAATGGCTGTCCTAACTAAGGATGTAGATTAAACAAGAATTTAGTAATCCAGTAATGGTTCCCAAAGTGTTCACCTTTGAAGGTAAAGAAAGGCAAAACCCTGAATGGAAGAGTAAAATTTCTTCCTACAAGAAACATTCAATATATTTTATATGCTTCTGTGTGTTCTCACCCACCCCAGTGCATTTGGTGAAACGTGCACTTCTTAGAAAAGCAAGGCTTGTACTGCGAACACTGTTCTGATCTTAGCTTTTTCTAGTCAAGTCCCTGTGAACATATGGCCTGATTTCCCTAAATCTCATCACTCCATTATCCACAAAAGGAGTCAGATCCACAGTTATTCACTGAACTTTAGCACTGATCTCCTCATACAGTTTTTGTTCTGTCTTTAGAAAGCACAGTGTGAATAGGAGACTGAGGTTCTTCTATGGGGCAGTCCGAGAAAACTAAAGTTGAAGGATAATGTAGAGCGCATGGCAAAAAAATTTCTTTTGTGAATTTAGTCAAACACACATGGCATACATATACTCCCAAATATAAACAATTTACATTAACTAATATCAGCAACAGAACCCAAAACATTGGTAGATCAAATTCTAATCTGATAATTTAAAAGCAGACAGTGCTCCACTGGGTTAAAAAATTAGAATAACTAAGAGATAATACTTTAAATACCACATCATTGTAGACTCCTAGTAGGCATATCCCCCTCAACAGTTACTTTTAAAATAATGGTCATAATAGGAGAAAGAGCAAGCACCATGCTCACTATTGCAGGTTACTGGACTGCTTTGATTAAGCACTGCAGTTCACAGATGAGCACTTTATGTCTTCCCTTCAAGTTACTGAATCTTTCTTTTTCCGGAATGGTGATTTTAGCCTCTTCCATACACTATTTTTGGGTTTAGATTTTTTCTCCATGGCCAGTACTGCCTCCTTTTCTTTCCTACGTATCTCCCGTACAAGGGCATGAAAAACATCATCAATGTAGTAGCGGTATGCAGCAGATGTCTCAAAAAAGGGACAGCTGAATTCTCGGGCCAAAGCCAATCCTTCTTCCTTGGTGACCTTTAAAAGTGTAAACATAAGAAAATTTATAGTGGTAACAGTAGAAAACAATTACAACTGTCCAAAAAAGTGAATGGGCTACCATAACAGGAAAAGAGCTCCTGAACTCTGGAGGTGTTCAAGCAGAATGCAGTAATTTGCTTAATTTTGGGAGCTTGAATTACATGATTTCTAATGTTTCTGCCTTCAATTTATATGATTCTATTTCTAGTCTATTTTTAAGGTAACTTTTTGGAAGAGGAAATCATTACAGATATCAAATATGCAATCTGAATTGTCTTTCTACTTTTTCCTTCAAGAAAGAAAAACAGGCTGGCTGGTTGGCTCAGTTGGTTAGAGCGTAGTGCTGATAACACCAAAATTCAATCCTTGTACTGGCCAGTCGCCAAAAGGGAGAGAAATATACTTAAACTACAATAATGAAAACTATTAGGAAACCAAAACTGACATATACAATCATGGATGTACCATAATTTCTCCTACTTTTGAACAGTTAGACTATTTCTCATTTTCTGCTACCGTAAATAGGCTGGCAATGAACACTTTATATGTAAGTCCCTAAATAGATTTGTCCAATGGGAATTAACTGAAAAATCTAAATAGATTTTTCCAGTGGGAAGCAACTGTCAACCTGCTCCCAAAAGTTTTGCACTAGTAGTCATGAATGTGCCTGTTTCATTACACCTTCATCTTACACCAAACAGCAAAATCTTAAACATCAGTGCTAACTTGAAAGGTATCACTTATTTTAAAATCCTCCACAATTTCTCTTATTTTCTCCTTATGAGACTCATAATTCTCACCATCAGGAAGTATATCTTAAAGTCTGACTTAAGGTTCTCCTGTTGCAACATAGACAGATTTATTTCTGAGGTTTTTGGAAGTAAACATTCCATGAGCCCTTCAGTTAATGGGTTCCAAGAAGTTACTTCAAAAAGCTCATGATCTTCTTTTCTAGCTATTTAGAAATGTACAATATAATATTATTAGCTATAGTCAGCCTAGGACACCAGAACTTATTCTTCCTATCTACTTGTAACTGTGTATCCATTTAAAAATCTTTTTATCATAGAAAATTTCAGGGCCGGCCCGGTGGCGCACTGCTACAGTGCGCCGCTTGGGAAGCGCGGCGGTGCTCCCGCCGAGAGTTCGGATCCCGCATATAGACCGGCTGCTCACTGGCTGAGCGAGGAGCGGGGGCAACACCGAGGGTTGCGATCCCGTTGCCGGTCCCGGCCCGGTGCGGGCGCGACACTGAGGGTTGCGATCCGTTGCCGGTCACGAAAAAAAAAAAAGACAAAAAGACAAAAAAAAAAAAAAAAAAAAAAAAAAAAAAAAAAAAAAAAAAAAAAAAAAAAAAAAAAGCTCATAAAAAAATAGAATTAAAAGAATACGAATCCTTTCATGAACTTTTTGAAGTACCCTAGTATTTGTAATCTGATCATAATCCTGTGGATTGTGTCCTGTAAATTGATTCCTAAAAATCCAGATTTTATCCAAAATAGCAGATTAGTATATATAGGGAAGTTTTCAGGGTTAAGGGGAAACTAATTTTGACTTTCTATTTTAAGGCAAAGGAATGCATAAAACAAGAAACAAGAATGACTAATTCCACATACAGACAGCACTTTCTTCTCTATCCTCACCTGTCTTAGCTGTTTTAGGTCAGACTTGTTTCCCACAAGAACCACAGGTGTATCATCAGTACGTCGAACTCGATAAATAAGCTGTTTAAACTCCCGAACTTCATGGAAACTTCGACGATCCGTGATAGAATAACAGATGATAAACCCTTCTCCTGCCCTCATATACTGATCCCGCATGGCTGTAAACTCTGCCTAGAGAGAAACACGGGTAATTAATGTACTGATGCAACCTAGAACTACACACACATTAGCTATTTACTTGAGATTAAAGAAGAGATATGTCAATTACCTGCTATCCTGAGTCAGAGTGCATGAAAAATTAAGAGATAAACTAGTGATCTTCTCTGCATAAGCCTTCCCTTCCCATTTACTGTAGTGAAAAAGCTTTTACTCATAGCATTCTTGGATTTAATACCTGTCCAGCTGTATCCAAAATGTCCAGATTGGCAGGCTCATCATCAATACGAATCCGGATTTTATAAGCATCTTCTACAGAAGAGAAGAAATGTGTACTATGAACCCATAAATGTAGGAAGAAATATCAATTTTAAAACTTATAGAGAAGTAGATTCCACCCACATTCTTTAACAGGCCCAAATTTTCTCAGGAAACTTTCATACTAAATCCACTGAGATACATAAACTGGGTCTTCAACTAAGGTCTTTTTTTCATGTAGGTGATGGTATAGTTTATTCATAGCTTAAGTTTATAACACTTCACCTACAATTCTAAGCTAAAAAAGGATTCTGAGAGAATGTCTTTTTAAAAAATATTAAGCCAGAAAAGTAACTTTACCATTGATTAAATAGTTATTACATGCCATGCATTATATACTAAGTAATTTATACATATTAACTTATTAAATAGGCAAAATAATCCAATGAAATAGGTATTATCTCCATTTTACAGATAAAGAAAAGAAAATCAAACTCTAAAATATTAAATGTGTTCTCCAATTAGTGATAGAGCCAGGATTAAAACCCAGGGATGCTTGACTCAAAAGCCTTATATGCTATATGTTATAGTTCTTCCTCATTTTAATACTACACACAAAAGAAAAACATAACTTTACTATTTTCTAAATAATCCATATTGTTATAATTTCTCCTTTATGAAAGCAAATTTCTTTTATGCATATTATTACAATAACCTTGGAAAACACAGAAAAGTACATAAGAGGGGAAAAAGCCTACTCAATACTTCCATCACTCAAAAACAACTGCTGCTTACATACTGTTGCATCTCCTTTTAACATTTTTTTTTCTTTTTTTGGCAACTGGCCAGTATAAGGATCCAAACCCTTGACTTTGGTGTTATAACACCAAACTCTAACCAACTGAACTACCCTGCCAGCCCAACATTTTTTCTTGATTCCCTGCTTCTGACTCCTCCTCAAGGAAGAGCCCACTAAATCAATGTTTCTCAAACTATAGGTCATGATCCACTAGGATCAGTGAGTTGTAAAATCAATTTAATGGGTAGGGACCAGCATTTAAATAAACAAGCAGAGCCTAAATGAAAACAGAAAATACCAAAGTGCACCATGTGTAGTGAGGTAAGCATAGTTTCATAATATTTTACTATCAGTTACATATACATAACTTTAAGAAAGAAAAATAGGTTGGCTGTATGTATGGCCCTACCTTCCCATATATACACTTTGTGCTTATGTTTAAGTACATATAAACATACACACATACATATATTTTCACACCTATATTTGTTTGGTGTGTGTATGTGTGTGTGTGTGTGTGTGTGTGTGACCGTGACCAGTAAGGGGATCGTAACCCTTGGCTTGGGGTCACCCACACCGCGCTCAGCCAGTGAGCGCACCGGCCATCCCTATATAGGATCCGAACCCGTGGCCTCGGCGCTCCCAGCGCCACTGCACTCCCAGCACCACACTCTCCCGAGTGAGCCACGGGGTCAGCCCTCACACCTATATTTGTACTGGTTACAATGTAAAATATTTTTTCTTACAGTTTACAACCAAAGTTTGAAATAAAATGCAATAAACTGTAAACTCAATGAGAGCACACACTGTACCCCCAAGGCCTACCACAGTGCTTGGCACATAGCAGGAACTCAAGAGACATAAGTATTTGAGGCTGAATCAAATAATATTGTCAGGAGAGTAGCTGATTAGAGAAAAAACAGTGACTGATTAAAAAAAGTATTATGAGTTCTACTCTAAAGAAAAGATGTTTCTGGAGTTCTGTTATTATTTACTTAATAAGAAGTAAATTATTCTACGCCCTAAATTGATTTTACTCCTAGAACTCCCACAATAGATTTAATCCCTGAACAATGTTCTAAATTTGATACAGTACATGGAAAAAACAAGAACTTTTTCTATTTTTGCAATCCATGGAAAAATCTACTGTGTAAAATAACCACATCCAAAGGTGGTCTACCACAGAACACTGATTGGCTTTGTGGAAAACAGAGCAGCAGAGGCCTGACCCAATGGAAATCCTTCCTAGAGACCCAGGATTACAGGAGAATATCACATCCTTAAAATAATAGTAGCATGGCAGATTTTCTGTGCCATCCCTGTTCCCACCCCCATTTTTCTTTTATACTAATATGACCCCTTAGAATTGAACCTGCTTTCTTATGGTTTAGTCTGTGTAGAGAATAGCAATTAAAAAGTAAAAAGGCAAAGGAGACAAATGACTTATTTTTTCTCCTAGTATTCTGCCAACAACATAGATAAGGACTATAAAAGACAGGAGAGAAGACATTACTATATAACAAACTTCAGGTATAAGGAAGTAAATGAAGGGCTTCATGTGGAGGAAGTCCAGGCTCTGGGTTGTAAGAGTTCAGCAGGCTGGCTCTACTTGTTTTTCTGCTTCCTTCTGTGGAAGTTCAAACCAGCTGACTCATAGTTACAGAGTCAGTCTTATAGAAAAGTGACAGCAAGAAAAATTTTCCTTAAGTGGCCTTTAAGCTTTTCCTTCAATCTGGCAATATAGTATACCAACCATTAAAAAAAAAAAGACAAAGAAAGTCATCCTATTAATGTTCAATACAAAACAGAGACGGCTTATGTGAATATACAGAATTAATTCTGGAAAAAAGAAATATTCAATTGCTTACCAAATGCTACAATACTCTTGTTTCTAAATAAATCTGAATTAGACACCAAAAAAGGCTCAAGATGGGGCCGGCCCGTGGCTCACTCGGGAGAGTGCGGTGCTGATAACACCAAGGCCGCGGGTTCGGATCCCATATAGGGATGGCCGGTTTGCTCACTGGCTGAGCGTGGTGCTGACAACACCAAGTCAAGGGTTGAGATCCCCTTACCGGTCATCTTTTTAAAAATAAAAAAAAATAAAAAAAAAAAGGCTCAAGATATAAATAGTTAGAAACCATTTTTAAAACTGACATTCACCCAGATACTTTTACTGGCTGTATTTGGAAACCTGACTTACCAATGGTAGGGTCATGATCTTCTGGGAAGCGGTGGCTGATGAACTGCATGGTCATGGCTTCAAAACAAGAAATGAAAGTTAAAATTGTCATGAGGGTTACCCACAGAAGGAATTTTAAGAATCGACAATGCACTATAGCCGATGTCCCATCTGGTTTGGGTAAAAATCATTTAAGTACTTTTCATCCTTACTTCTTGTTGAATAGAAAATATCACCTACCACTTTTCCCCACTCCACCAGCACCCAGCATCACTAGTTTGTACTCGCGTGAGAGTCCTGCAGGGCTGCTACAGCAGCTACCAAGTGGGCGAGTTCCAGAATCCATTGTCCTCTGGGGGAATCCTGAGTTTCCCTGAGGAAAAACCACCTAAAAACAAAAAGGAGAAAACATTTAATCCAGAATGGGGACACCGTGAGGACAGTCCTACAGCCAGTGCCCTGCCTTCCCACATCTACACTGGCCCACTGCTCTTGCTCACTACTGTACCCTTTCTGGCGGCCCTCGCCCTCCCTCCTGGACATTTCAGGCCTATGACACATCACAGATTTTCGAACTTACTGTTTCCAGAAAGGAAACTATAAAAAGGCAAAGAAATTTAGATTTTCAGACACGCGCACTGGCACGGTAAGGAGTCGAGAGAGGTTGGGTTTTGCGGTCCCCAGGAACGCTGCCCTTAGGCCGCAGGGGTCCTCTCACGGCGGTACCCGCAGGTCCCGCCCCCTCCCCACCCCCAGCAGCTCCCCCGCCCGCCATCGTGCCCCTCACCTCTCCGCCTACCGAGCCCATCCCCCGCTGCTCGTACCCGCCAGGGCGGGAAGTCCACAGCCCGTTCAATATCACCCACTTGGTCTTCCTTCACTGGCGGTAGGGCTCGGGCACTGACCTGTGACCCCTCCCGGAGCCGGGTAAGATGGCGCCACCGGCGCCCCGCGTCCCGGCGGGAGGGGCGGGGCCTGCCTGTGACGCCCACAGTCGGCCCCGCCCTCTCCGGGGTGGGCGCCACGTCTCCTCCCAGGTCCCCAAACCTAGTTCCGCGACTCACCACAGATGGCCGTCTGATCACGTACTACACTCAAGGTAGGCACACACATACGAAAGTGTTAGATTGGCTGGACGGTCAGCGGATCCCCATACTGGCCAGCAGCCAAAAAACCCAAACTGTTAGATCATCAACGGGGTAGAAAGTAAATATTGACACCAACATCGAGAGAGAAAGAATGTGATGAGACAAGCAGGCGACCTCTAAAGTAACAACTTACTCAGGGATGTTTGTTGCTTGTGAAAAAAAAAAAAAAAAAAAACGAATTTGGCCAAATGTGACACATAGACAAGAAGTGAGGAAAGGAGCACCCCCCTCCCAAATCCTCCTAAAACACATTGAAATCAAGTTTAGAGAAGATGACTGCTTTGTAGCAGAAAAAGCACTTTCCCAAAGGAGCAGCTACAATGACTTGGGTTCTTGAAACCAATATTAGGTTTCAAAGAGTTCCCACATCTAGTTTTATATTAATCAGAGTTCTGTATGTATTTTAAACATATACATGAAAAATATGCAAAAATTAGGTTTTTTGTTTTTAACAAATGTACTACTCTCCAGCAGGAAAGGGTAAAATTCAAGAGCTTGTAAGTGGCCTTGAACTAAATAAAATAACTGAAGATACTACAATTGTATTCACCTCTAGGCAGTATACAGGTACTAGCACTTTATGCTAAAAAATTTTTCTGATGCAACTTCTGCCCAATACTCTTCCTTTTAAAAAATGTCTTTCCAAGAATAACTTACATTTCCTTTAATATTTCATTGACTCAGTCTTTTTAATCCCCTATTAAATTTTAGGAGGGTTAAAATATGAAAAAGAAATACATCCAGTACAATAATCCTTGAAATTTTCATCTGGATTTTAAGGATATCCTTTGCAGAATTATAAAAGTCTTGGAGCTACACACAAACTTTGGGGTCTGTGTATACATTTTTCTAATGAGCATTATGGTATGAGTAAAAAGTTTATTAATTTTAGTGTATGGATGGGTTATACAAGAAAAAGAACAGAGAAACCACAAGCAGAATATTTTATACATTTATTTATAATGAAATTATGGTCTAAATATTTACAACATATAGGAAACCAGAGGATAAGTTTATACAAAGCCAGCCTGCAAAGTATTCAAATGTGCAAAAGTGACAGTTCAGTATCTCAAACTACTCCTGGTTCAGCAGACTAGCTCCTTCACTTTCACACATCAATATTTGATACAAAAAAGTTCTTTTGGCAAAACCTGTAATGCCAAGAAAAAGGACAAGTTGCAATGTCAGTCACTAAGTCCACCATCCTACTGCGAGTAGTCAGATCTCTCTATTTTAGCTGCAACCAGTCCTGAGAGAGACAGACCACTGTGTTTCATTTCTGGATGAGTTCTGAACAACTTTTAGTCGTTTTCTCTGACCCAGCTGAAGACAAGGAGCTTAGAAGGGCAATAAAAACAGCAATGGCTATCTGAGACAAATGTGCTTGAAGGGGCCAGCTTTGGATCATCCCAATAAAAAAGACACAATGAAAAAATAACTTCATTTTCCTGCCCAGGATCCAGCCATATCTGACAGTCTTAAATTAGTAAAACAGCATTTTCCAAAACAGAAAGAATCCAAAATGAAAGAGATGAGGATCTCTTAGAATTAAGTACTGAAAAGAAAGGATGGTCTCAAAATAATTTCCCCACTAATAAATAGTAAGGCTTTGTTTGTAACCAGTTATTATCAAAATTGACCAGACAGTAGTAAAATACAAATAAAACTTTCTTTACATCAGAGTTGGGGCTCTTCATTTGGAAAAGCCTGGACCACGTCAAACATATAGGGGAATATGTTGGGATGCTTTGTTGAACAAGCACATTTTGCCAATTGTTAAAAAGCTTCTCTGACAAATTTGTTATTCTAAGTAAATTTTAACAGATGCTATGCCACTGCAGAAACAAAGACATTTAAAAAAGAGTGGAACCCCTTTAAGAAAAGGGACAATGCATCTCTAACTTCTGCAAAGGTCCAAGATGGTTCCCAGTACAGGCCCCAGAGTCTTGTTAAATCAAATGCATGCATTATTGCTAAAAAGTCACCGAGGGTTAAAACTCTCCACTGTTTCCTATGGGGCCATCCAAAATGGCATCTGCTGTTTAGCTCGTGGTTGTGACGAAGGGTATTGATATCCCAAACTCCAGCCCTGTGGAAAACTACTTGCATTTTTATGACCTCCATGTTCCTCCTCTTCATCAGATGAATCTGCAGCATAAGCCACCAAGCCAAATCCCTTCTCTGTAGTTTTCATCTTCTTGGCTGAATAATCTAGGATAGAGAAAAAACAACCCCAACCCCATTCCCACCGAAGGAAAAAAAAAAGATAATACCATAAAATCGTTAATAAAAAAAAGATGTTAATTGTAAGTGGTTAGTTGGACACCATTTGAGGTCACCGGGTCAATGGTCCCCCAAAAACGTTGAAGATCACACGAAAAACAGCACCAGCATCAGCAAATGTGAATCCACCAGAACCATGTAAGAAAACAGAGAAAGAAAAAAGAAACACAAAATCTAGGATAGAGAAAAAACAACCCCAACCCCATTCCCACCGAAGGAAAAAAAAAAGATAATACCATAAAATCGTTAATAAAAAAAAGATGTTAATTGTAAGTGGTTAGTTGGACACCATTTGAGGTCACCGGGTCAATGGTCCCCCAAAAACGTTGAAGATCACACGAAAAACAGCACCAGCATCAGCAAATGTGAATCCACCAGAACCATGTAAGAAAACAGAGAAAAAAAAAAAAAACACAAAAAAAAAAAAAAGAAAAAAAGAAAAAAAAAAAAAGGAAAGTTAGCAAGTGAGATTTTGGGGGCTGATATTTCACCTTTTAAAGAGTTAAAAGAAAAGAAGAAAAGAAAAAAATGTATTCTCTTCTGTTCATTTTTATTATGACTATAGGCAAAGAACAAAAATGACACCATGTACCTCTACAGGATTTAAGAGTTCTGGGATGCTAAAAAGCCGTATTTTTTGTAACAGCCACAGGCTGACCATTACCAATCAATAGAGCTATAAGAGGAGATGTGGCTCACCTCCCAATACAAAGAAAAATCAATCTTTATTAGTCTCTATCAGATTACTTCCAGGTATTCAGACAACAGAGGCAACAGAATTTTGAAACGACCTACCAATCATTAGTATTTCCTAGGGTTTTAATGTCACTGATGCTATGTATAAAATATAAGTCGACTGACCCTTTTCTAGACACACGTCGGTTGAAAATAAAAGGCTGTGTAACTATATGCTGTCCATATAAATAAAAAAAAAAGTATTCTCATTAGCCAGTAGATTATACAGATTGGATTAAACACCTGAATCAACATCAGGTTAAAAAACTAATAGCTTCAGACACACCAGTCCTACTTTAGTCACTCTCCTGTTCCCCCAGCCACACATTACTCACCGTGGCTCCCTGTTAAAGTCCCAGACCCATTCCTTTCATCAGACTCTGTTTTTATTCCAGTCACTGGAAAGGCTGGTGGAGGCATCAACTGCCTGTTAAAAGAAAAAATGAAATTTTCTTTCAAACAAATTCAATTTTTAAGTTATTCACTGAATAAGAAGTACAATAATAAACTCTACGGATAATCTTTCAAGTTCATTTTAACCATTAATTTCAACACTTTCAACCTTTACCCCATTCCCCTTCAAGCTATTCTCAAGTCATAAAATTATAAGTCCTGTCAAAAATAGCAAGGCCATGGGCCGGCCCGGTGGCGCGCCGCTTGGGAGCGCAGTGGCGCTCCCGCCGAGGGTTCGGATCCCACATACAGACTGGTTCCCGCTCACTGGCTGAGCGAGGTATGGGAGCAACACCGAGGGTTGCAATCCCGTTGCCGGTCCCGGTCCGGTACGGGCATGACACTGAGGGTTGCGATCCGTTGCCGGACACGAAAAAAGACAAAAAAAAAAAGAAAAAAAAAAAAAAAATAGCAAGGCCATGCCAAAAACAGAACGAACTGTTGACACCCTGCTCTCCCAAGTGATCCAGCCTTATACTGTGATTCTAAAGTAGCAAAAACAGGGCTGCCTGATTAGATCAGTTTAGTTAGAGCAGGATGTCATAACACCAAGGTCAAAGGTTCAGATTCCCATACCCACCAGCCAGCCACAACAACAAAAAAAGTATCAAAAATAGCTTGATGGTATATAACACTTTCTTACTACTCACCCTTGTGAAAATGGCCAAGAAAAAAAGTAAGGAGATATCTGAATAAGTACTGAATTATTCAAAGCTGAGTGCAACTACTTCTAAGACTTGAAAGGCTGATCATTATATGTTTTCCATTACTGTGTCAATTACAACAAACAGGAGCTTACTTGATTCGAATGATTTCATTTCAGTTTCAGAATACTGAACCTATCTATACGCAATGATCATTACTCACACTCATGGTGCAAACAAATGACAACTGAATACATTCATATAATTGTTCCAACTAACTTACCTGTCCCTCTCTCGCTCTTTGCCTGAGGAACTTGCTGACTTCGATCCTGCACCTTCAATCTCACTCTGACTGGAGAAGCCTGTACCTAAATTAGTCATATGAATGGGTCCATGCTATGAGCAGAAAAATACAGTGGCATTAGCAAATCTACAACTGCTGTATTGACTTTAGCTCCTTAATGTAACTGTCAAGTGTCTCATCTTTCTGATAAATTCCAACAAATTAAACTGCACTACTACATAGCTCATTGGGATCTGGTGTATAATTGTAGTCAAAGTAGGGATTTTTTTCTCTGTAGGATTTGGTCAAGAATGTTGCAATTCATTATGTTCTGTCTGTTTTCAACTGACTGCTCATAACTGCTTTGCATAAACCTAGTTATAAACTGT